GTAGCCCATCTTGCCTGACCCTCACGTCAGTTTACAAGTTTTCAAGCCTCAATCCGATTTCTGTGCATCAATGACCGATCTACTCGGTCTTGAAGACATCAGGCATCAGACTACGTCAGCAACATGGCCAGTGGCCAAGCGTGGCAAACAGCACAGCGAAGGTGGAACAAAAGCATGCGCATTGACACAAGCCCATAACCTGTAGGCACGTCTTGCTCGTAAGACATTCAGCCGAGCCCGCCACACTGATCACCTCGAGTGCATTTGCCCTTCTCCTCAGACACTGCCACACTTGCACATGCCTCACACTCGCAAGCAATAGTGTGCTGTTCGGCTGTGCCCACAGCATATGTGCCTGATATGACGGCGATTTCACAGCCCATGCCAAGTACAACTCGTGCTCAGCCATCTGCCCAAGCAACTCACAAAGCCAAGGGTCATAGAACGAACAAAGCTTCGTCTTCACGAACTGTTCTTCGTAGCGTGAACGATCTCTGTTTCCAGGTCCCTGTCAACCACCGTCACAATAAAGCAATGCAAAGTGTCAGCTTGGACTCTGAGTCAGACGTCACCAATTGCCAAAGTCTTTGAACAACTGTAGCCGTTGTGTCAGTGTTTCTATCCACGCCTTCGATGCCCTGCCAACTGCTGCTTTCTTAGCCATGTCCAACAGCAAGTGCTGTGCCTGAGAATCAGGCAGTGCGACAACAACATGAACGCGCAAGACTGATCTGGGATACTCTGGGAAATTCATCCAAGCTCTTGGAACTCTTGGATCCGCGCTCAAGGAGCAATGGCGCAAGGCAAGAAGTTGCTCGATTTGTGCTCGACTTCTGATTAGACTGCACGGGCCGACTGACTTGCTCCGGTTCTGAACTGCTTCAAGGCAGGGCTGAAGCCGGAAGTTTAAATAAATGGGTGCTTGACTACACAAAAGCCGCGTAACTAAATCAAATAAGCGAAGCTTGAGCATTGAAAAGCACTCAGGTGAACAATGATTATTGCAGTCATGTGGACAGCGTCAAGAGAGTGAACTTCTCCAATTCACCATTCACACGAGGGTAGCAAACACTGGAAGATTGATAGCATTTGCTCGGGCACCTGCAAATCTAAGTCGAAACGAGGAACACACAACAGAGTACAAGATGTGTACAAGTCTGCCACAGTCTGCCTGCTGAAGATTCCGGTCGCAAACCTCAACCTGGCCAGATTTATGTCTCTCAGAGCCAAGAAGTGCTACGACAGCTCCCGTGGCGCTAGGGGAGATGAGGCGCAACAAAAAACAAAAAGCCACAGACGGAACTTGGAAATGAAGATGCAGGGTGCCTTCCTCCAGAGAGGCCGGTGTGGTCCTTCATTCACTGAGTCGGTTATCACTGAGTAGCCCTGAACCTTGCGCCCCCCCCCCCCCCCCCGCCTTCTGATGTAGTTTGACTTAGGGATGTTTTTGCATATGTTGGTATTCTGTCTTGTGGACGTCAAGCATCACACTGTTGAGTACTCGGTGAGTATCGGGTACCCTTGGTGCCAGCACTCCCACAAGCCCCTCCAGCCTGTGGCTTGTTTGTGCTGAAGATGTGGCCCAAAAATCTGCTGAAAGCAGTGGACGAGTTCGCCTTCAGCTCCTGTCACAAAGTCTCAACATGTCAGTGCTAATCTTTGATGAGATTGCAGCTGATGTTCTACTCAACATTATTTGCTGGCGCACCTCAACTCGCTCGACATTCTTCTGCAGCGTATCCTCTCGTTGCCTCTGCATGGCCTCGAAGCACGTTGCCGAATGGGGAGGCTTCAAACGTGCTATGGCTTCTTGAACTGCACAGGCTCGGACAAGAAACCTATCCATGATGGTGTAACATCTGCTGAACAACAGCAGACGCATGCTGTCTTTTGATCACATGTCTTGGGCTCACACTTCATGCATGTCCTGCGAGAAGTGCATAACAACCTGGCAAAGGCGTGGCGAACTTTCATGACCTTCCATTAAACCTTCGCCAGAGGCAGCACCCTCGCAGACATTGGAACTCGAGGGTCTGTCAAGTTACAGACGATCCCCTGCTCAAATCTTAAATAATTAGGACGTAAAGATGTGCACTTTGGGGCTGGCTGACTCCAGTGGCTCTGGTGTTGGCTCGTCGTTCGCTTAATGGCTTTGGCAGTCTTAGGGTGAACGCGTCTTCACGCCACAGCGCCTGTTTTCAACACACGACTTGCGTGCAATTCTTCGAAAACTGAAGCGCAAGCATCAAACCTTGGCTAGATGCATGAGGTTTGTTTCAGCATGCGCCGGCGACTGCTGCGCGCATCTGCTGTGGTTGGATACCAAGTAATTTACGGCTGGATATTGAGAGATTAACGGCTAGGTTCTTGCGGGCATTTTGAAAGATTCAAGCAGCGGCTGCATGCTTCTGACGCAACATGCAACGGAGCGGGCTCGGCCTCATGTTGCTGGTCTCGCCGCTCTTTCATGTGGTTCGACGTGTCCATCATCAACACCTTGGCAGTGAATTCTTGAACCGCTCATGGGCAAAGGCTTGTGACTTTTCCGCTGTCAGTCCAAAGGGGCCCCCTGCGTAAGGAGGTCAAGTTTCGCGCTGCACAAACTTCGAGTGCTCCGATACAAGTGGGAAGAATAGTCACTTTTCTGCTACGCAATATGGCTTGGTCCAAGGGGGCCCTTGCGTACTGGAGGTCAAGATTCGCACTCTGCAGAACAACATGCCAGACACTGTACACGCTGCTCATCGGGCATAACTCACACCTCGAGTCATGTGACTCCCATATTCGCCCGCATGACTCAGTGACCACCAGAGGCCCCGGCCATGTCTATGTTCTCCATTGTGACGAAAGCACTGATGATGGTGTCCGGCTGCAGGAAAGTCTTGTAAAGAGCAACCTGCTAACTATCGACGAGGATTCTGCACATGATAGACCTCCATGGCTTCATAGCTGCATACTCACTTGTCAGCTCGCGTGTGGGCACATCTCGCTGTACTTCTTGGATACTGCCAAGTGCCTGGCCCAAACTCCCAAGACGGCCTGCGCAAGATTGCTGATGCGCGCAAAGACAGCAGACAATGCTCGGCAAGGTTCAAGAAGGTGCCTGAAGCTTCCAACATGGGCAAAAAGGCGCCGTACGGAGAATCTAAGAGCTGATGGGACTTCCACGCTCCGAGCGAATCCCCTTAACAGGAGCCAGTATGATATCCATACCTTGCAAGAAACGAACATCGTCAAAGCCCATAGCACAAGCCCGGCCTGGCAAATAAGAAATATCAGTATTACCTGCCAGGTCAGAGAACCAAAACTGCTGTGTTCCAAAATCAACCTCCGAATGCTGTGAAGCAAATCCCTTCAAAATTGCACTGTTTCCAAAGGCCCGTGCTAAACCTGCGATCCCTCGGAACCGTGTCGTCTCCACATGGCTCTCCATAGTCCAAAGCACGATAAGCAGCCATTGGCGGATGACGGGTCATTCTGTTTTGGCTGTGGCTGCTGGATGACTGCAGAATCAGAGTTTGCCATGTCCATCCTGTCACTGAGTGCAAACGAAAACGTGAAAGAAAACACGAGAGGGGCACGTTCTGAAGTCGATTCTGACGATCGCGTTGTCGCTGCCTTTTGCGGTGCTGCTTGCTCGTGGCAACCTGGCAAATCCCCACCCGGCAACTGCAAAGTGCTGAATCAAGCACTGCAACAGAGGCGGGAGAAGACATGCTCACACACAAGCTGTGGAGCTTGCGATGAGTTGCTGCATGTAGCTTTCGTCCAGCAATGCATCAACATAATCCTCTGGAACTCCTGCAAGCCAGCTTCCGCCCAGTCTGTTCGCGTCATTGGCATCCTTAAACGGACTGGAGGAGCGCAAAAACAATCCTCGCCGGAGCATGTCGAGGCGCGATGGCCGACTGGACATTCGGCCAAGTGATGCCATGGTGGATTATGGTCGATTTCAACACAACATAGACTTGATTGAACCATCTCCTACTGCAGCCCAGTGGGACGAATGTGTTTTGGGAAGGTGAGTGCCGGCAACAAGCTGCTCTAAGACACCGCACTGCACGACTATTGTAACTGCTATGCAACTGCAAATTGCTATGCAACTGCCATACCTAATCTGACAGCTGCGTCGTTGCAGGGTCGCGGAAAGAAGAAACGGCTACATGCCAACACCATGTTGAACCCATGTCCGACTGGTACCTTGTGGTCCTGCAACTGTGTCCCTTTCTATCTCGCTCTCGCTCTTACTCACTCTCTGCTTCGCTATAACTAGTTCCTATTTGCGCAAGTATTTCCTGATTCAGGTATCGGATTCTTCAGTCGCATGGACAGTATATGTGTATATCTATATATGTATATACATACACATTATTATTTTCTTCGTTCTTGGGTGTTCTTGCATTCTATACAGATGCAGAATCTCAGATATGAACTTTGTTATGTCGCTATTCATGTGCGTGCATGCGTGTGCATGTCCCGTACTTAGATATTTCCATACTTAAATACAACTATGACCTTCACTGTTTAAAGTCTTTGCTTCGTTTCCTCATGTCGTTGCTTATTCATCTGTTCATTTCACAGGGAAGGCTGCGCTTCTGCATGCCCCAGCTCTGACAATCGCTCGCTCTTCCTCTTAGTCACTTTCGCTGTCCTTCTTCCGCGTTGCTTGTAGGTCGAGGTCGCCCTCCATGTTACTGTGTCACTTTCTTTCGCTCGCATGCTTCCTACTTACATGAGCTGGCGGGTCCAAACGCGTAGAGGCTGCTACTGAATTGCATTAGCCTTTGAAGTAGAGTCGATGCTACAATGCTACAGGATCTGGCAGAAAGAGATGCACACGGATGCACACGCCTTTTCAAATTGCTGTAATCCAACTCAGCTTTCTTGCTGTCGCATGCCACGATAGCTCTAGTCTAGTGCTGGCTGAGTCCAAGCGCCTAGGAGGCTGCAACACAAAGCCCTCTGGTGTCACATATCTCAGCTGCTGTCACAGCGGCTGTCTATCTTCGTCGGTTTTGCTGGAAGGGCCTGCCTTTTGCAACTGGCTCCCTCCTGCGTGCTGCAGCCTTTGGTTGAAATGGCTGCTTCTGCACCTGACGGCCCACCGAGCCCTTTGGAAGAGCCTTGGGCAGAGGGACCACCACGCTTTTTACGTCGCGGCTCTGCCCCTGTGGGATGGGCTCCTCGTCGTAACTGTACTCATCATCGCTGTAGTACTCGTAACTCGATGATGGCTCCTCTGGCTTTTGAGGGAGCTTGGGGCGCAGGGGCGGAGAGGGAGGCCGCCGAATCTGAGCGAGGTTGCGTGGGAGCGGAGCCTGTGGGGCCGGGGCCCGGTTGCGCTGGTAGTTGGGAGGCTCAGGCGTCACTGGACGGCGCGCTCGCACTGGCCGCGGCTGCCTGGGCCTAGGCGGGGTTGGGGCTTTTCGAGGGGGAAGTGGTACTCGTCGAACTTGCTGCACCTGTCTTCTTCGTGGGCCCGGTGGGCTCGGCACTCGAACATCACGAACGCTGCGAGCGCTGGGGGCACGCCGGGCTGGAGGAGAGAAGCGCTCCGTGAGCCGCACCCGGCTGGGCTGGTGCGGTGGAGGTGTGCGGCTGCGGCTTCGCGAGTCACGCCATCTCACGTCGCGCTCGCGGCCCTCCCGGCTCTCGTAGCCATGGCTTCGGTCGACGTAAGCACGGCCATACGCGTTTGTACGATGGTGTGCATGGCCCCTGCCAGCAGCTGCATCGTCATAGGAATTGCTGTAGCTTCCATATCCAGGGGCTTTGTGGTTACCTCTGTAGTCATGACCTCTGTAGTCGTTGCCTGCATAGTACGAGTCACCAGTGTAACCATTGCCATAGCTGTCCTTGTATCGCTCACCCCCAGAGCGCTCAGAGCGCCATGGACTCCAGGAGCCGTTCTGACCGCCGCGACCGCCGCGGCCGCCGCGACCGCCGTGCTTCCAGCCGTCCTTGTTGTCCTTGTTGTCGTCCAGCATGAAGGGTAAGTGGATGCGCGCATTGTTCTTGCAATATCGGTTTGTGCAACGTCTGCCATCTTCTCGAAAGCATACTGGCACCTCGCACCACTGTTCCTTGCAGCGCTGCGCAATTTCCATGGGATCCTTGTAGTAGTTGTGCTCCATGCGCAACCAAAGGGGCCGTGGACTTGCCTTCGGCAGGTGTTTGGCTGCCTCTCCCACCATTAACCAGCAACTCTTTTCGGTCAGCCAGTTGTGGCTGAGATGGACCTCCTCCAGCCGAGGACAGTGCTTGAATATGTGCATAAGGTCCTCCTCGACCACATCGTCATCTATGGAATTGTGATGCAACTTTAGGATCTTTAGCCCTGGGCACTTCTGGCAGAATCTGGCCACCTCCCGAGCAGAATCTCCTTGAAGCTTGCACTTTGCAAGGTTGACCTCTGAGAAATCGTAGAGTCCTCGGCTGTGACACAAAAGGGCGCGTGCACGATTGCCATCAATGTGAGGTCAATGTGTGAGGTGGTCTTGTTGCAGCCGCGCGTGCCTTTATCATTTGCTCTTTCCTGCGGCCACACAGAACTCTTCGCTCCGAACTTGCACGCCCCGAACAATCAATCAACTCTATGAAATATCGGAAAGAGCATTTTGAGCAGATTAAAAGCAGCATACTGGTCGAACCTGTGCACGCTTTAACGGAGCCCGGCCAAAGCTGGCTCGATGGGTAGCGCAGCAGCTCGCATGATTTCACATCACATGTCCTGACTATACCCTGCTGGACCGCTCCTGTTCCAGATACCAACTGACGTCCGCCGGCTTCTTGATTCTCGAAGACAGATCGAGAATCTGCGAACATGTGCTGATGAAATCTGACTAGCATCCAAGTCTATGTTATGTCCCGTGGGCGGTCGCACAATGTCGCAAATCAGTCCAAGTTCCACTAACACCTCGCCCTTGGCAAGCCTTCACAGATCCATCCTCCTGGCACTTGATAGATACAGCACTCTTGCATCCCCTCTATCTAACACGTAGCACGTTCTGCAAATAGATACTGCAGCATACCGACGAAAGTCAAGCCGCAGCCAGCAACTCCTTCATGTCGGACTGGGCAGATCTGCCAGGATCGTTATCCTCTGCGAGCCTCAAAAGCGTATGCCGTATGCAGGTATATGGTGTGTTTGCAGAAGTATATATCTGTATATGTATATATATATATATGTACAGATCATCATACGTCTCTTTTTCTTCTGCAGGGCCTAGGGGGGTCAGCCCACTCTTTCTTCCTCTCTCTCTTTCTCTTGCTTTCTTGCTTTCTTTCGTTAGGGCATGGGAGCAAGCTCCCGCGCATCACACGTGACATTGAGTCAACTGCGCTCACCTTCACTGGACCTCGCTCCGCATCTGTTTTCGACAACCGACTGCGGGTCCCAATCGATTCGAAAGCCCTGTACTCGCTCTCACTTCTTCTTCTTCTTCTTCTTATTCTTCTTCTTCCTCCTTCTTATTCTGCACGCTTTGGAGGACCCCCCACTCTCTCTCTCTCTCTCTCTCTCTCGCTCTTCTATCTGCAGGGTGTTGTATGCTTTGGAATCCGCTGCAGAATAGAACCCTTCTCAGAGCCGCGCCCAGCTGGACCTGCAGGCACCAAACTCTTCTTCAAGGTTGTCCAGGGTTTTGCAGAGAGGAACCCCTGGAAAAGGAATCGGAATATCCAGGCCCCCCGACCGTGCTGGTTTTCTGCGTGCTCCTGGCTTCATGTCAGCGTGATATCCGACTGCGACAGCGAATGAGCACTGTTGCCCAGTTTCAGCATGATCTAAAAAACAGCTGGGCATAATTATGCAACTGCGTAGTGATGCAACTGGGTAGAAACACTCGGTGCAGCAGTTTGCAATGTCTCCGTGGCTCCTCTTGCAATGCTGCGCTCGGAGCTGCAGCGAAATCGGCATCGTCACCCTCTGCCGGGTTGACCTGTCAACCGGACATGAACAGCGCATACCATCACACACCGCCGTACCGACCCAGTCATGAACCTGGTCGCCCGTGTCATAGTCGACTGCATCAGCATCAACATCGCCATCTGCTTCGACCTGGTTTGCCATGCTGCAAGAGGCTGACGTGAGACTTCCACGTCAGCATGGCCTTGACACTGCACCCTCCCACATCGAAGCCTACCTGAAGCACTGCATTCTCCTTAAGGCAGCAGCCTCTTCCTCCTTCACATCCATCAAGGCCTGCACGATGATTCACAGCAAGCTTCACAAACCCAAGCAAACACATGGACCCATCCACAGCAACTGCAGGGATGCGAAACATCAACACGCAACAACATGTAAAAGAATTCAACCACAGGTAACAAAACGCAACAAACCATCCGCAACCATCCGCAACCATCCGCAACCATCCGCAAGGAAGATCAAAGGTCCGCATGGCCATGTTCCACCTGATCGGCTTCAGGCTCAGGCTGGTCATCGGCCTGCGATGCCCGGGTCTCTGCCCCCAGGTTTTGACACAGGTTGTGCAAGGTTGTGCAAGGTTGTCCGCTAGTCCCCGGAGCTGCCAGTAAAAAGCTTGCGAATCTGCGTGCGCATTTGATTTTCGCATCTTCGGTGCACCGTTGAAACCCCACATGGTTTCGCTTCGCGGAAGCCTGCTTGGAACAGCCGTTTGCAGAGCACAATCACAAGGCACGTTTGCGCAATATTGCGTTTGCTGCTTGATGTGTACCTGCAAACCCCGCCAATATGCAAGCAACCGATGAATGCATCCCATTGCATTTCCTTGAAGCTTGCTTCCAGAACCATGCTGCACTTTCAACGGAGTCAATGGAGCCTGTTCCATCTTGCAAAGGGAAGCCAGGACTTTAAAGTCACCGCCACATTACCGTTAAGAGTGGAAAGGGTGCGGGAGTTGGCCTGCACTCGTGCTTCTGGGTGTGGTGCGGGCTTTTTGAGTGGGGCTTGGGTGTGCTGTGATGTGCTATGACGTGCTGTGATGTGAGCCGGCTGCAGTCGAGCCTTCTTTGAGCCAGAATGTGGCTAGCTGGCGAGTTCTGGACATGCAGCTTTTGGTTTGGAAAACAGATCGGCCAGTGTGCAATTTAGTGACCTCTGACAAAAGCCTAGCTAGAAGGACAGCCTCGGCTCTTCTGCGCCAAATTCTGTGGGCACACTCTGAACAACATGCAAAAGCACAAAGCTGGATCTTTGTCTCTCTGTCGTACCCGGTACCCCATGTCGGAGAACTAGACGAGGGTCCCTTCTTCATGGGCTGCTTCAAGTCGGTCTACAGGGCCGCTTGGTAGGCAAATCTGTAAACATAACCTCAGACGTAGTGTTTTGTAGTGTTTTATGCGCATCAACAACTCTTTGCCCAACTATGTCACTAAGTACAACTGAATTATCGGAACGCCATAAAAGTTGGAAACCCATCGTATGGCTGAAGTGGATCCGAGCCACGTCCAAAGGGATCGTCGGAGTCGACCCGGAGGTGCCACGTGCGCCCAGTGTTGCTTTTGTTGCTCTCCAACTCTTCGAACCATACACTCTTTTGCCAGTGCCCCTGCTTCACGATATTGACCAACTTCTCCGAGATCTCAGTGCTGCACGAACGCGCGATGCTCAGAGTTACTGTCGATAGACATGACCAGCTCAGACACACATCATCTTGGATGAGTTCGTACTAAATTGGTGGCACCTGACCTTCAAGCTTCTGCTTGGTCGAAGCGTTTGGTGCAACGAGGCTGCGCTGGATTGTGACATGTCTCGTCTACAGCGTGCGAGGTGTTACTCTCAGGAGATGGTCAGCTGCATGAAGTCACGTGGTCACACATGGATGCGCACTACCTAGTCCAGCAAATCCCAGCAATACCACCCGAAGCTTAAGTCTGAAACAGCCCGTTTGTTGCTGCCAATGCGCCAGGATGATCTTTGGAACAGCCCCCTGCTTTTCCACGCTACCTCCACACAGCAGACGAGCGGTGAAAGCAAGGGAAAGTCCATCGCAGGCAATCTGAAATCGCTGCATGGCGCGAGATCTACAAGCGCCTGGTCGTTGCAGCAGCTGGTCTATGCTGGTGCGCCCCACATCTGCACTAACCTTAGTCTTGAGTCTTGGTCATGGTCTGTGAGCGTCAGCGCATGCTGCAACCTAAAAGTATCTTACAACAGGCTTCGACAAAGATGGTCACAGCCGGATTACCCAGAATGGTGGGTTCGTTGAGATGGGCAGCAAATAGGTCAGCACAAGTCACCGAATCATCTAACTGTAGGGATCATTGGGGACTGGGCACTCCGCGGGATATGGTGGGGGGGAATCCAGGAAAACTTGGGATCCTCTGCGGGATTGCCCACCCTGGGAAAATTCCAGCTCTCTGCAGGATTTTCTGGGAGCACTCCAGGGATGCTTGCGGGCTTGCGGGATTCTCTACGCTCTCCGGGGATTCTCCAGTGCTGGCACCGTGCGGAAGACTCCAGGCGAGGAGAAGATTTTAAACTTTGTATCTAACAATCTCACACGTCACGTATCTCTAGAAGTATCTCCCTAGTTTGAAGCACGAGGCCCGCAGGCAATCCAGGATCAACGAGAGGTGCAGCCATTCTGCTCGTCCTGAACTACAGGAACTGTTCACAACGGGTAGCGTAACATGACGCAACTCTCAGTTCCCTAAATGCTGCCAAATCGTGGAACATTCAGTTCATCTCAGTCCTGAAAGTTCTGCAACCTCGACCATGCTGAGGATGTCAAGCAATGCCCGATAGGTTCGGCCCATTCTGGGGCGAACGCGGGCAAGGCTGCTGCCGGCGAAACCACCTTCAGCATCGTGCCGTCACCATGGCTACCATGTCAGGCTCACTCTAGTGCTTCAGGAGCTCCTGCCTAGAACTGCCAACTTCAATGCCCGAAGGGCGGCGACCAGAAGCAGCCTCTCCCGAGCAGAGTCTGGCCACACTCCTGGCAAAAACAATGCAATAGCCAGATATAGCGAGTGGACCCATGATGATCATCTAGCGAAGCACGACCCAAGCTGAAACCGCCGGCCTCCATCACGAGAAGTGAGCGGATCCATCGCCTCGTAAAGTCTGCTGAGAGGCAGTCCAAAAAGTTGGGTATACCAGTGAGAGCGACTTGCGTTGGCGAGCACCTGAGCCAAAAATGTTGCTGCAATCAGTACTAACCCTGGTGGGACATGGAGTGGGACCCCTACTTGCTGGAGAAAAGATTAAAGTCAGCTACAGTAGTTTTTTATCTGAGATTCTGTCCCAAATCTGCCAAGCCTCCGTGTCTGCTGGAGCTATGTCCGAACGTAGCAGCCCCCGTGCAACAAAGGCCGTCGGTCGAGCGTATGCAGTTTTGACTGGCATTCCGCGCGGCCGTTCTGTGCTCGCCGCGCCTCACAAGTCTCACAAGTCTCACAAGACGGGCGTGCTTGAATCCTCAACATACATCCCTGAATGCTATGTCCCACTGCATTCTCAGAGCTCGGCCCTTCCAAGGGCACTCCGTGTACTCAGACACGGGGCTCCAGCACAATGTCGGCGGACTGGAGAGGCCATTCCGAAAGTACCCACGGCAACCAAAGTGGACCTGGGCTGAAAAACTCAAGTCTTAGGACCTTAGGACCTTAGGACTCGTGACTCGTTCAAGTCCTGAAGTTGGTGGTTCAGAGGGGCACATGACTGCTGTTTGGATCTTAGAGATTGTTGCTGAGAGACGGCGCGACAATTTTTGAGCACGTTGCACCGACGAGGGAGGCAATGAAGGAATTTTAACATTACTGCTAATAAAAAAACAAGAATGCACAAGATGGACCCAAGCGTGAACGACCAGGAACCCCACCCACACCCAAGCGCCCAGCTCAAACCGAACCTTCCAACCTCGCGCATGCGCGGGTGCAAAATCGTTGGGTTCCACCTCACAACGCCGGGTATGCTATGGTATCGTTAACCTGTGCCCTCGGGAACACCAGCAGTGTATTAACAAGTTAAGTCGAGCATCCCATACACCACCAGTCACGCAGCCATAGTTCTGCTGCAACACACACGGTGGGCTGCCCTTCAGCTGCTCCACCAGACGAGCAGAGCAACCTTCATGCGCCTCCCGCCTCACCATGACATGTTCCAAGTCGCTATATAAGACAGCAGACTCTCATAGACTCATAGACTCTAATTCTGACCCACCGGTCTCTTCCGGCCATGTTCGCGCCTTTTTCTCAAGACCATGGCATTGGTATTCCATGGGCAGCAGAGCAAACCTCCGAAGGCTCCCAGGCGCCGGCCTCAGAGGCATGACGAGACCCGCAAGGACACACTACAGGAAACTACAGAAGGGCGAGATTATGAGATGATAGGTCCATGACCTGCCCTCATCTACCGAATACAAACCATTGTCCAAAACCAACTTGGATTGCAGCATTCGGGCCAGAAGTTGGCAGGGCATTTCTGAGCAGAACGTTTCTTTTGATGGCCCTGCCAAACTGAAAACGCAAGGTTATCTGGGGAGTTCCTGCTTTAGGTCTGCTGCCTGATGTGTGTTCGTGCTGGTCCCCAGCGAGGCCCGAGTTCCTTCTGAATCTTTCCCCCCCTTGCAGACACTCAACCGAAACAAGTCCTGATTTCCACGAATGACAGGAAATGTAGCTGCCAGACATTCTTAAACTCTTGTGACTGTGATCTCACAAACCAAACCGAATCACGGAGTGAATGTGGCTGAGACCCGAGCTTGCTTTCCGGTCAACTTTGTAGCCTCGGAGACGTGTTGAGAAGACCGAGCACATGGGACGAAACTGTCTGTTCCAACCTCTTTGCCGCAGAGCTCGAAGTAGATCGCGCCACTTTGCATCTTGCATCGGCCTTCATGGAGACCGCATCACTCGAAGCAAGCGTGGGATATTTCCCCCCGGGACGTGCTCTGTGACTCCATGTGAAAATACAAACAGACGCCCCCGCAACGTCTTACAGAAGTGGGATTGTGCATTGCTTCTGACACTAGTATGGAGCAAGACCTGATCAAGAAACCATGGATGAGAACCTGAGAGCTCCAGCTTTCGGCATTAACAAAAACTCAAGTCCCGATCGGACAGGAGCAATGCCCCGATTTCACGCTCACACCATGAGGGGGGCCGAAACTCTTCCTTCACCCAGTGCTCGGCGCAAAAGAAACACATCTGTAACCTGGCCAAGAAGGCACTCAATTTCTCAACTTCACTCGCCGACCCTGCCAGACCGCGCATGGAAACTCAGCGTTCGTTTTGCGGTTCCCCTTGCTATTCACCTGCATCCGAACCCTGGCAATTCCAAGAGCGAGATAAGGCACACGGCACATGACAGCGTCATAAAAATAGACTTCTTCCAAACCTTTCCTGATCTGCCCTGATCTGCACTGAACCTGGCCCCGCCCCATTGCACAGAGCTGGTTCTCATAACCCTCCGCCAACCTTCCAATCTGTCTTGTCAGTACGATGCCATCCTTGCCGAAGCTGAGCTGTGTGACGAGCCTTCACGGAACAACCAAAAGCATTCCATAAAGAGCTGAAACTTGCAAAAAAGCTGTTTGCTCTGCCTACCTACAGGAACCAGCCTCGAAAGCAAGTGTCGGGGAATGTCTCTGACAAGGTTGAAAGCCTTTGGAAGAACCCACTCCACTTTCAAAGCCATAGCTGAGCTCTGTCCCTCCCATCACTCATCAAGTCAAGCTGCCAGAGTCCAGTCGCTTACCGACATACCTTCCAACCAACTGCACCAAATCTTCGCTTCCTGCGACGAGATGGCCTGCCGGCACACAACACTTGCAATCCCACCATTGGGGTTCAGTGCGCGCTTTTGCCCCTCTGACACTCCTTGAATTCGGGATCAACCCGAGGAGCAGTCGACACCTGCGCCACGCAAAGAGCGCCACTCACGTCGAAGCATCGGCACTAAGGGCCACTAGGGAGCCCGCCTCGGCCCCAAGGCATTCAGCTTCTGCCCACATGCTCATGCCCCGAGGATGCACGATATCCGCACACAACCCATTGTGCCCAGAAGTGAACTCCACCATGCAGCTACCTGAGGTGCCACTGCAAGCCCACTCTGCTCTCAAAACAACACACATGCCACTCTTGCCCCACAGCCGGACCATCACCATGCCCAGCCAAGATGCCATCCACAGCCACCACTGGCAGGCCCCAGCGCCCCAGCTGTTCCTGAGCTGTTCCTCTAGAGCGCTGAGAATCCAAGGCTGCCCAGCTGTTGACGACAATTTAACTTCTGCGTCTAGTCTGGCCCCATGTAAAATTCGGCACCTAGACATTCAAACTTGTTGATACTTGTGCGCCCCTAAGATCAAGCTTGCTCTCAACCAAGTTTCTGCCAAAGCTCCACGCCCAGCCCCCAGAATCAAGATCTTTGGCGGTCGAGACTGGCCACGGGACTCCTCCCATGTTGACGTGCAAGACACAAACATTAAGTCGATAAACACAGCTTGCATCGCGTGCCTTCACCCCCCATTCTGCCAAGAAGAAATCGGCCAAACCAGCCGCAAAGATGGCATCATACTGCAAGAGTCGGGTTTCGGTCTTTGCGCTTCCCGATGCTGCAGCCTGCAGGAGCCGTTTTGCAGTACAGCAGCACGACGAATGCTCGCGACATAGACTTGACCCAAGCTTCCCGCCTGCCGGCGCAAATAATCTTGAAAGTGATTGCCCTTGACGGTCGAGTTGCTCCAGTCATTCGTCCAGAACCCATGCGGATGACGCTTGGGTAGTTGCTCGCAGAAAGGCTCCGGAATCCTTCTTGACAGGCACAGGAGTAAAAGGCGCTAGCTTGTTGTGCTGGCGCAGGCTCAATGCCACACTTACACATGCCTCCTCAAAAAAGGAGCTGCTACACACCGAACATTGCATGCACAATCATGCACACGATGCCAAAACCCAGCCCTCGGGCAGAAACAATCCCTGTTGCTAGCAGTCATCTAGCTAGTCTGTGCCAAGCGGCTGGCTGAAGTGATCGAAACAGATGTCACTGCGCAGGCGAACCGTGACTCCAGGACTTGCAGCTGCGGAAGTCTGCCAGCAAACCACAAGCCAAAATGAGATCACACATGATCACACGTAAAGAGCTCCCACCGGAATCTGATCCAATGCTCACCTTGACACTATAACTGTGGTTGAGCATGTACATCCACTCGGCACCTGGAACGTCAACATCCGAGCTTCAAGAACGTTTTCGGGTCCTGCACCAGCGTGCAAACCAGGACAGATCAAGGGGCATCGCACCAGAGCTACCACAGCCGTTTCACACCTTTTGTTTCAATGTCTCTGACGTCGATGGTCAACTTGAGATTCGGGGTACGAAAGCTAGACAAACGATGACAAACGCCGGACAGCGCAAGCTAAAAACCGGAGATGCCACACATGGTCTGCTGTCTGGTCAGCGATATGGTCAGCTACATGGCGAAGGAAGTGTTTTCCGATTTGAACGATCGTATCCGATCATAAACATGAGTACTCTGGCATCATGGGAGAAAGCCCAAGGGTAGCAGAAAAAGCTTTCCGAGCGTTGCGACTCGTTCAAGTTCTTGACACATTGAAACAGGGAGTTTGGGGGGGGGGGGGGGGTGGCCCCCACCCCGCTGACCCACATGAACACTAGAGAGAAAGGTTGTACACGACAACTCTGGCAAGCTGCAAGGAGCTAGCTTTGGTGAATTCGCACGGGTATCATGAACTGACAAAAGCGAGAGAAGTGTCTTGCAAAAACAGATCTGTTGAGTCGATCGTATGGTCATGGATGCTTCGGCATCTGAGTTGCAAGAGTGTTGCAAGTCTCATGCGACCTTTATCAAGAGTTCAACCGTCAGTCATGTGATGTGCTGGTTGGTGTGGCCGCAGACAGTTATATCTTCTCCGGAATATTGAGTTCAGATTGCCATGTCGGATGGCCCGGAATACAAAACAACTGCGCGGGGCCGCAACGGATCACATGGGAAACAGAACCGGAAAATTAGCACAACATGTGTTCGCACTCAACAGTACTCAACAGTGCCAGGGTTTCAGAAGCGAAGATATACTTGTGCGAATGGTCTGTATGAAGTATGGCTATATAAGCAGAGAAAGTGACACAAGTTCAGCTAGAGTTCATCCAACACGTGTGCTGATGGGACATGCCCCCAGCTAAGGTTCTCGTAAACAAGCTGCGGAGCTCGTCCAGCTACCAATAGCGATGATATTCTGTAACTCCCGCGCACGAGCCTGCAAACGTGCAAACGTATAACGTGCCCGTTCCATTCCCTCCTCCTACGTACTCATGCAGTGGGAAGATTCTCACAGATTCGCATGCATGAGACCGAACCGCAGGAGGGCTGAGCAGCTACAACTGGCATTCCCGATTTGGGTGTTCGCATTTGCTGCAGTGGTCAGATGCACAAGTCTGGGCCTGGATAAGCCAGACCACGTGCAGAGTGCTCCGGACAGGGCCAGAGCTTGCCCACGGCTCGGATCTGTGTGTGTTCTCCAGGCCGCGTCTGATCTCCTTCCAGCCGTTCTACCTGGAAGTGGCCGCGGCGCGCGCAGGCCTTGCGGACACTCAATCGCTTCCGAACTGGCTCATCAGAGGGTGCCACGTGTGACGAAGTGGGCGCACAGTAGTTCATGTGAGGAGAAGCCAGGGCTCCAGTTGCGGCCATGGAGCAGGATGAAGATATGGATCGTAGTGGCGCCAGCTTCGCCGATCCAACATCCACCGATAGGTTGTGAAGTAGACGTCCAGCATCAAGCCAGGAGGTCCAATGGCGAACCTGCAGCGTTTAGGCCGGGATTAGGTGTGTTACTGGTGTAGATCACGAAGTTTGCTACGTGTCACCACGTGTGACATCGTGCTCTGATGGTTGATGAAAATATTGCCTGTCAGGCATTGCGATCCACTGTCGATGAGGAATTGCATAGGCCCAGATGGTATTGTCATCATCGAATACCGTCACATCCTGAACTGCACAGCAGACTGCAACATGAAGGGAAGATACTGACAAAACACAGAGTTGCTGCGGGCTGGCTGCACGTGCCTTGGGGAAAATCTCAATGCGCAGGTCCAATCGCATACGTGCCACCCTCCAGTATGAAGCACGGTACCTGCGTGGAAGTCTGCGACAGAGAGCGACTGTGGCTGAATGAGGGGCCCAGAATGCACGGTATTCAGAATCGGCACACGGCCATTTAAGCAGGTTGCACTGGCAGTGTTATCGATCCTTTGCAGATGGCTGAGCCCAGCTACTGGTAGCATGCGCAAAAGCAGAGCAGCACGATTTTCCCGCATCGCTTCGCTCTGAGAACCTGGCGGCCAGTGAGCGTGTCTACTGCATCACGGTCAGTGTGACAGTGCGAGGTCTGCAAGCTATGGCCTGAACACCCTGGGAATCGAGACACGTCCACCGCAGGCTCCACCTCCAACTGTTCACAGAATGTCACAGAATTAAGTGAGGTTGGTCCATGTTGGTCTCAGTTTGATGCGCCCATGGCTTTGGCAACATCTCGCGACACATTTCTGCAGGTGCTCAAGTTTGCTACATCCTAGGCGAGCGCCACGTGAAGGTCAAACTCGGCTCACAGCTGTGCAAGGATGCGCAGCGGCAAGGGATGGCAAAGGCAAGGGCACAGGCAAAGGCAAGGAAACACAGCTCTCCAAAACAAAACATCGAGACGGACTCGGACTGCAAAGCACCACGCCTGCTCCACGGGCTGCAGCCACTGCAAGCACCAGAAAAGCAGCGTGTCCAGCGCAACGAGGAGAAGAAACAACCTGAGGTTCAAATTGTCTGCACAGGTTAGGATATGTCGCGGTGGTCACCTGCGTTGCACGGCAGGATGTAGGGCCAGGACTTGCCAGACACACATCCAACCCGCAAAAAACGCAGCAAGCGCTGGCGCAGACAAACTTGAGGCAGCTGGACCTTGGTGTCTTGACATGTCTTGACCTACCCCACCGAGCATCGCCAAGTCTACAGCAGGTTCATTTCAGCCGATCCAAGTCAGCGGCGACCTTGCGGTAAACCTTCTCCGTCCTCTCAGCAACATCCTCATGTGTTCAGGCACAGTACTCCGATGTATCCGCTTGGCCATCTTGTCCACACACTAGGCATGGGCTTGCACTGCTTGATATGAGACTGACGTGGAATGACCGTGGATACCATGTGCTCGCAACCCTTCTCGGGACGGTGCCAGCCATGAATACATCCCGCACACCTCTTCGTGAAAAGTCGCGGCTGCCTCGATCTGTGCTGAATCATAAACATCGCGCAGGTGAATTGAATAGTCAGCTTATCTTAGCTTCATCATGTGGCACCCTTGCTCTGCCAACCCTTTGCAGGCGGTTTCAAAATCTTGAAAGGCTCTTTGCGAGCCAGAATGTTCCTCGTGAAGAACCTTACACACATAGACTACCCAATACTCGCCTGCAAGACCACCTAGTAGCAAAACAACGCATTAAAACCACCAACATCAGCTCTTCCAAGCTCATCCGATTCGGCAGTTCGGCAGTGCCTCTGTCGGAGGCAGCGAGCTCAGGGCATCTTCGAGGGCCTTCCAAGACTCGTCAACGGCAAAGCTACTCCTAGAAAAGAAAGACCATTGACCATCCATGTTAAATCAAGTTAAATCCATGTTGCGCTCCGTGCTTTGCCGACACAAGAGCCGTAACTTTGACCTGCACGACAGCATCTACGCGAGGCACCGCCAGGCGGGTCATGTGAGGCCTGGGTGCAGAGGAAGGCTAATGGGGTGGCGATCTGGGCAATGATGGGCAATGCTCGGTTCTCAAGCTCAGAAGCTTCGAGGTTCCAGCGGGAGCACTTCCGGGACTCCCCCAACGTTGGTCGAGACCACCATGAGCCCGCAAGCAGCTGCCTCCACCTGGCACGACGACGAATTTCCCTTTTCAATTGTGAACCACAAAGTGCTCGAGCCCTGAAAGGATCGTTGCGAACTTTTTCACAAGCAAACAGCCGAGAACCAGCTCGACGAAAAACAGTTTGAGCCATCGGGAAGAGTCTTGGTCAGCAGGTCCTCGCAGACAAAGCACGTACGGACATCGAATGTTTGGCAAAGCGTTTGGCGCGGCCGCCAAACTGGCACGCCTTTTGGTCGGCGTAGGATATGCCTTCAAGGCGGCACGGATTCACACCACTCCTTACTGGAGAGATGCAGGACGAGAAAACCGCCACCGGCAGAATAGTCTCAACTTCTAAGGCTCTCCCAATGCCCAAGTGTGAGCAGGCGTGATATGCAGGGAAACTTGAAAGCAGGGGGAACGAAAGCCAGGGCCCCGAAGGTTGCATGCGGCTAGTGTTTTTCGGCAGGCAGCGCTTGCCTGCCCTTTCCTCCGCAAAGGATTCTGAGCTTGTGGGATTTGCTCAGAAATTCTCAAATACCTGGCAAAGTTTAGGCGCGAAGGGTTTACAGTTCTTGCGGAATTATTGTTGCAATGTGTTGGCACAAGTTGCAGGCCATTAGGTGGGGGAGGGGGGTTCAAGGTGAGGGGAAGAGGCCCCAGCTTCAAGGAGCTAGCTTTCTTGATTCTTGCGCAAAGCTGCGCCATTCACCATGAATTCAAACGCCTGCCATACACAAATGTGCCTACACCACGAAGCTGATGCGAAACTGCCACGCAGCCGGAATTCCTATTGGAGTCAAAGTTGCCGGGCGGGCCCCCACCCTTCTACCAAGCACCTGCACCTAAAGTCACTGAGGGCGTGCGGTGAGCGCATCTGTTGTCGTCTCTTTGTCCACCAACCGTATACGTCTCGCCCGAAGAGCAAGATACAGGGCCCGCCAGGCTTCGCTCTGCAGTCTCCGCCCCCAACCCGGCAGGATCGATCGAAGTCGCCTGAGCTCCCGGGGCATGTCGGCCACTTCTGCCCTGAAACAGCTCTCCATCAAAGCGCCGATGACGATGCCCTGCAGGGCCGCCCTTCTGTGGCCACCCTGCTGCCATAGGGAGCTCCAAAGGACGCTGTTGCACGAATGAGGGTGAGATTCGAATAGTCTGGCCTAGAGTGGAAAGAGTAACAGAAAGAGCTGGGAGACTTGGAGACGAAAGGCTGCGCGGTTCACCATCACTGAAATGTCTTACCGCGCCCAGTGTGCTGCTGCACCATCAAATTGTGCAAGCCTAGCCACAGGGTGTTGGCTTATGATGTGCTGTAACACAGGACAACCATACCCCGTGACCGGTCCAGCCCATGAGCCAAGCATGCCAGGCTGACAATGGCTATGCAGAATGCTTCCGTGAGCGAGGTGTTCAGGAAAATGTTCCCTCTTACCAGAACCTGGCAACTTGAGTAAACATGTCTAAGAGCTTGCAGGAATCAACGAGAATCGCATGCAGCTGCACCTTGCGGACGTCTTCGTGCGGGACAGATCCCAAGAGCTCAACCCGATCCTAGTCACTGTATCGGCTTTCAGTTTGAGGCGAAAGCAGCAGCACCCCTTGGCACGTAAGTCCACGACGTGAAGATTTTCCTGCAGTACAAGACTCACATGATAGCCGCCGCTAGCCCTAGGGATCTGAAGACACGACTCAGCAGCACGACTGGCAGGCTGCCACGAGACTGGGTTTTTTGCAAAAAGCAGAAAAAGCATGCAAACACGACTCGATGTGACTATGCGGCCGCTCTACCCCACGAGACTCGCTGAGTCACGCATCATGTCACATCACCCCTTCTGCAGCCAAAGTGGCCCTCTCGATCATCTCTTCCAGAAGCAGCCTCTTTGGGCCGCTGCCACCGATGACCCTCAGTCGATCGAGAGAGAGAGAGAGGGAGAGAGAGAGAGAGAGAGAGAGAAAAAAAAAAGAGAGAGAGAGAGAGAGCGAGAGAGAGAGAGAGCGCGAGAGAGAGAAAGAGAGAGAAACAGAGAGAGAGAGAGAGAGATTTAGAGAGAGAGAGAGAGCGAGAGAAAGTTGAGAGATAGTCGGGAGAGAGTCGAGAGAGAGAGTCGAGAAAGCGAGTGAGTCATTTGCGAGAGCATCTGAGAGCCAACTCTGACGAAATCTGAGGAAATCTGAATTTCAGCAGACAAGCCACCATCGCACATCCGGATTCCTGGCAGTTAGTCTCTCGAGGCCTTCTACTCGCTCGTCACTGCAAGCGCCTGTTCCAGGATGTCGTGCCTCCGGCAGATTTCGGGCACGGCGCCCACTAAGAGGTCGACGCCCTGCAGGCTTGCAAGCGTTCACATGCTTAGTCCACAAATTGATGTTGTAGCATGTTGTAGCTCGCAATGCACGTGGACCAGCCTGCCTTGCGATATGTGAGGCGGCTCACCACCACAATTGTCACAGCTGGCTGTGGCGCTCGGCAGGACGTGTCTGGAGTGAAGCGCCTGCAGATGCGATTGCTTCCCAAGTCCATCTTGTGTCTTGACACAACCCTACTCAAAGATCTCAAGGGCACGTCCGGCCTCGTGTCAACTGCATTCGGGATAACGGAAACATTGGTCGGGTTTAAAGATGCTCGCAGCACCAAGTTCTCGCGGTTCGTGTGGGACACACAGATGCAGTGCCTTGGAAAAAGCAACTCCAAGTTTCGTCCCACCCTGGTCACCCGCTATTTGCGACGTGGTCGCTCTACATTGGTCAGGAAGAACTTCAAAAGCTTGTTGACCTCAAAGCATCTTGAGACTTTCGCAGTGCGAGAGCAGAGTGAGTCAAGCCCCCCATTTGACGTCGCACGATGCATTGGCCAAGGGTACGACGTGTATGCAAGCTGCATCTGCAAAGCCGAAGAGTGAATGGTCAGTGTACACCGTATGGTACCCCATTGTTCGCGCATGAAGAACGCACCTGAGCAGCCGATTCTGCAGTGCAGAAGCTGCGGGGCACTGAGATTTCATGAACATGCCTGCTCAGTGTCGAGGGGCATTCTTAATGCTACAACATCCGAGACTGCGCAACTTAGGAAAACTCTGGCAAGAACCAAGTCATCTGATTGTATATCGACATCCAGACACCTGCAGACCATCACTCTGCCTTGGCTGCGGCCAGGCAGCTCATGCGCCAGGTTGGACGTAGCTTGGTGGCCATGGACAATGTCAATCTGCTCACGGATGAGGACTTTTCGAATCAGCGGGAAAAACGAGAGGAACGTGGGAAATGTACCTTGCTGATCAGTCATTGAACAAGCTTCACCTGTCGTCTTTCAGCGAATGCACTTGTGAACAACTGATTGTAGCTGTTTGGCTGCGGTGCAATTGTCGTGGAAGGGCAAGAAAGGAAGGTAGTAGACCTTCCTGGGCGATGTTGTTTTGAGGGTACAGACCCCCAGACTGGCAGGCCCTTCGGCAGTCCAAAACACACACTATGTCGGCATAGACCCCAAACAGTGTGAAGAGAACATGGAAAAGGAAAAGAGAGAGCGCTGCAGGCCCTTCGACACCTAAGCGGGAGCAGGGTGTAGAGCAATGCGTGAACAAGCTTCGAGCGAAAGACGCGGACTCTGCGGGCACCCTGCGAAGTAGGCAATCTACACTTGAACCCGGTGACCCCAATCATGTCACTACTTTGGGAAACACTGGCGCTCACTGCAAGTATCGAACAATGCATCTCAAGAACAATCCATTCCGCATGTAGCGAACACCCTGTCGAGCACCACGAAAGTGGGTCACAACAATGACCTGACAGTTTTGCCACATGATCCAGCACGGCACATGAAGCCCGCTTCTGTGCCCGAGCGCTGCGCCTTGTGCCCACGCTGAAGCAAGCACTCGGAAAGCTGGTAAATGTGCATCTCAACGCCCCCCAAGCCTTCAGACAGGACTGTCGGATATTGACAGGCTGTCTACTTCTTTAAAGGCGGCATGTACGCTGCACACATTGCACACCGCTGCACCCAATCCAGCCGTTTGTGTTACCTCTTACTCTCATTCCCTTCCCATTATCTTCCCCACTCTCTTCCGTCCCAGGTTCGAGCTCTCAGACACTGCCTATGAAGATGAAACACTGCATCAGCATTTCCTGCCCATAAGAACCAAGTGGCCGGGATGAAAGAAGTCTGACACCATGCAGATGTTCAAAGGTCCGTCCTTGCTCAGGCATGGCTGATCCACAATCACTTGTCGTACAGAAAGCGATAAAAACAACCCTCAAATTTCATGAAGGCCAGGCACCATGGCTTCTTTGGTCATTGATGCTTCTTCTTCACCTGGATCGTGACAGTATGACATGCCCCAGACCCAATATGAGGCCCAATATGATCAATATGGGCGGGCCTTGGCGTGCGAGTCTCAGTGAGACTCAGCGGACAGGATCGCCAGTCGGATAACATCGGCAAAGGCCGCATCGGGGCGCTAGTAGCTCGAATTGAGATTGCCAGCCACAGTGAACTCATGGCTGACTTTACTAATTTGCAGGAGACTGAAAATCAAGAACTTCCTCTTCCATGCTGGCGGAACCGGTTCAGGAAACTTGTAGGGGGAGCACGTGCTGGAATAACATGCATGCGCACATCTCGCTCTGACTTCGAGAAAAGCCAACATGGCATGGGCCAGGTGGTACTCTTCTGCATGATGTGAAAGATGGAGCCAGCAGGAAGACAGTACATGCAAAGGGCTGCAAAGGGCACCGGCCCATGTAGCGTCGAAGAAGGCGCCCACATGTGTCCACATCACGCCACACGTAAACCTTGGATAGAAAGGAGCTTGATTCAACGCGTGGTGGCATGTCTTCGCAAATTGATCTTGAGCGCTCTGAGCACTCCTTTGCCAATTCTGTATAAAGTGCTCTGCCGGTGGGCACAGTGATGGCCTGGGCAGATATCGGGGTCGGCTTTGGGCCCTTCTCGAATCCACTGGAGCTCTTCCGGACTCATGAACAGGCTGTCGACGCAGAGTACCTCGCAGCCATCCCCCAAACGATCTTGCTGGCAAAGCAAGAAAGGCCCCTTTCTGGCCTCTGCTCTAAATGGAGCGAGCCGCTCACAAGCAAGAGCACAGTCCTGGCACCGGCCGAAGTTCAGGCCAACAGTCTAGACCTGTCTAGACGAAGGGACACACGTGACGTAATGGCAGACGCACTCTCAACTGCTTCTCTTTGCCCTGTTCAAAGTTTGTGATTGTATTTTTTATTCGATCGCGTTTGAGCACGCATCAGGCTTCCAGCTCGCAAGAGCGCTCTCATTCGACTTCTTCAACTTCTCCCCACGAACTTTGCCGTGTACTTAACTCGCACCCTGTCGCTATTCCTCTGCTTGCTCTATGACCGGCAGAAACATTGCAGGATTTCGGGAGGTCCTAACGCACCGTACATCCCTACTGCATCAACATGCCGACCATTCTAACACAATACACATTCTCTGCCGAGAAGTGTGGAACAAGCAGACCCGGACCGGTCGACCGGTCTCCTTCCCCCTAACCCAACCCCTCCATGTAGAATTTTGTGGCGCCCCCCCCCCCTGGACCCCCCCCGGATCGGCTGCACACCGATGCCGTGGAGGGTCCCGCCTGTCTGCGGCTCCTACAAGGGAGCGCCTCAAAATGCACGAAGTGGGACCTTCGGACCCCCCGACATGCCTGGGACCTTTCTGGGACCTTCCTGGGAACACATCCCTGCACCCCGACCGCTGAGACAAAAGCCCCCCCTCTGAGACCATTCTCCTGAGAACCCGCTCTGGGACCTCATTGGACCCTCTGTGGGACCCCTGTCCAGCATGCTCTGGGCCGGCCCGGCTGCCGAGGCGGCGCGCAAGCGTTTACAACTACTCAGGACCGCAAAAACCGGCGGCGGGTGTCCTGCGTGGGCACGACAACAAAAACATCGAAGCTCTCAAAGCGTCGCAGCACCTAGCAGGAAGCGTACTGAAGCAGCACTTGAGCATGCAAGCCCCCGAACACGGCTGCGACGTGTTGCGGCACGAGACTCCCATACCTGCTCCAGATCTGCCGTCCCGAATCGATTGCGCAACTGGCCCGTCAGACACAGACCTTTCGGAGTCCGTGAAGTGAGCACCCTTCATGAAGCCTTACCTTCTATACTGATCTGCACTTTGCTCACTACATTTCCCACCTAGGCCACGTTGTGGCCCTGGCAGGGCTGCATGCAAGGCGAACTGCTCTGAGGACCTGCAAGGCTGGATGCCACACTGAGCGTACCATGCAGAACATGGCGAAATAGGACGGAGCCTTCTGTCCAGGACCCGGATCGCCAGGGCATCGGCCGCCACGGAAGAAGCATTTCGCCACAGGAGGCCCATGCGCCAGTCCGTGGCCTTTGAGGGGCCGATTGCGCCGATTCCCACAATATGTTCTTGAGAGCCTTGTTCAGTCAAGTTGCTTGATCTCCCAATGGCCCTCCTGCACATACCTTGTCCGTACAGTCGAAGTGCGACCGACGAGACACCTGCACAAGCTCGAGTCCATCAACTGCACGTCTGCACATCTCAATGAATGGAGTAGGCTTGTCGACCCTGATCGTGGCAGCTTGAGTATCCTGCTTCTTGGAGTGAGCTGGTTCATGCAACATGCAAAGTGCTTGGGACAGAGCAGGCATCTTGCCTTGAAGTGTTCGTAGCCGTGGCCTACCAGCAAGTTCAGCAGCTGCGTGAAGTCGGTTTCCCTTCCAAGCATAAAGAAGCACCAGAGGTTCTGAAGAACGTGACCGAATGTTGTGCCTCAAGTCCAAGTCCAAGAATGTTGGGGGTCGCCCTGAAGCCTCAAAGCATGGGCACATGGAACATGAGAAATGACACGGCATGGCATCTGCTTGGGGCAGGGTCGTATTCAGGCAAAAATATGGTAACATACTGCACCTTGAGCACTTGCTCCAACACGGATTGTAGACAGGGCACCTTCGGCGCGCTTTGCTTCTGTCAAGCAGATCTGCTATGTAGATCGCTCAGTACGTCACCTTCGGCCAGTGAGCTCGCAACGCTGCAAAAGGCGCCATGGAACGCGGAACTTGGCCGCATCCTAGGTGACCAAACTCTGCAGAGCTCCCCGTGTCAAGACATGGCATCGCACCTCCACCTTCCGTCTCCAGAACTTCCATCCCGTTGGCTCTGTACAGTTTTGCATCGAAGTCATGGATGGCGGTCAGGTGCAGTACCTTTGATCCCGACATGCTTAGCACAGTGCTCCAAGTCATGCAGCCATCAGATTTGCCGCGATCACAAGCTTTCTCAATGTGTCGGTGATCTAGTCAGCAATAAAAAAACCCGTCACTGTCACTGCAGCAATACGGAGAATGCAAACTAACTATACATACCAGGGTCTAACAACATGGAATGCACTTGCGAGTTCCTTTCTTGATTTTCTTGTAGCTATCACAAGCCTGACTTCATCTGCGATACGCTTGCGGCGCATGCACCGGTTTTGCAGGGTGCGACGCTTTCGGCCTGTGCTCTAGGAAACTGAGAAAAGTGCGACATATCTCCCCAACTTAGCCCGTACAACTAACTAACACTGAGCCTCGAAAGCCAGACAATGCTTTCCTGCTTTGCACATCCACCAACCCAAGCGGTGGCTGTTCCTTCTTACTCAATGTTCTTGGTTTTGGTTTTGCGTTTCAAGTTTTTGTCCGGCTTTGGGGAGGATTTTCGTACGGAACCCCCTTTGTTCCGGCATCTGGAAAGGAGCTCTCACAGGCTCTTCTTGATTCATTGGGAAGACATTCCATCGACATTGTCTGTGTTTAGGATTACACTAGCGTTATGCTGTTTGCCTTTTTCTGCGAGTCTAGGATGTACACTGGATGTAGTAAGGGCTTTGCTTTTAGGGCTTTGCCATAGGAAGAAGAATAGAAAAAGCAAGGCATAATCACAACAGCAGTAAAGATCTTGCTAGCCACAACCATCAACAGCGGTAGCCATAAGAATGAGAGCAAAAACAATAAGAACAACAAAACAGTACGAATAGTAGGAAGAGACACCGCTGTGCAGCAACAGTAATGGCAGAAGCATGCATGGCTCTGCTGATGATGACGACAAACGGTAACAGTTGCTGCTGTCGTCCAAGTACTGGGCTGAAGGACCAGTGGACTGGAGCACCAGAGAATCAGTTCAGAAGAACAGAGAAACCTCTCCAAAGGAGCGAAGAGACAAGTGGAATAAGTATACTCTTAGACTGCCAACTCCGAAGCCTTTCGAAGCCTCTCAAGCCTTCCAGGCAAGAGGCTGACCCTTGCAGGCTCCCAAAGACGTGGCGGAGGAGAGCGGACGGAGGATCCTGCACATCTGCACATCCAAGCCGGCAGTTCACGAGATCATACAAGAGCACCATGGCTCTGTTCGACTCTTCGTGGCTCTTTGTGACTCTTTGTGGACCCCTTTCCCACCTTGCTCCAGAGGCTGCGTCCCCGAAGGCCATGTACATAGGCAAGCTCCGGAGCTGACCGTCCCAGCATCTGACCAACAAGCCCAACGGCCAAAGAATTACAGTTGTTTACTTGAATCGACAGAGGTGGAGGTCAAAAATGAGAGAGTTGGAGCGTGCGAAGCACAGCATGTTACGGCTTCCGGCTTTGGCAAACACATCAAGGCCAGCCATCAACCCACTCACCACATGTGGGAACCTACTAGCGGCGTACGATTGGATGTTGCATGCTTCAGTATCCTTCGCTTTCCTTCGCAACATGCTTGGATGCGACGTTGAAATCAACATCCTAGCGCTCAGACATGGAGGCTGAGAGAAGTCGAGATCAGGCCTTGAAAATGTGATCAGTCTCTGGTGGAAAGCCACCGTCAGACCTGGCATCCCTATCCTGAGCATCAAGATGGTTCGCTCGCGTTCATGACATTCATGAATCTCGGCACTACAGTCACTACAGAGCCCTTTGTGACATTCTGAGTTCATACATGACACCAGGTCTCCGCCACACTTAAACCTTCTCTGAGGTGTTGCCTTTCGGGCCCAACCCGGTTTGATCATACTGGAGCGGGGGGGTCCCTTGGCCTTCTAGGGCCTTTTGGGCCTCGGCTTTGCATTGCCTTTCGTGGCCTCGCACTTTGTAGGGCCTTTTGTTGCCATTTGGCGCCGTTCAGGGGGGGTTGACAAGCCTCTGAAGCCTTTTGTGACCCTCGGCCTATACTGCCGTCCAAAGTCCATTCAAGCGTCGGTGCTGCACTCAGCGCACTCCTCCGCAAAAGCCAATACGTGTTCCAAAGTCCAGCCGTCGATCTGATCCAGATCCTCACGTGGCGCGTAGCGTCACCAGGGGATGACACAGCCCTGAACCCCAAACATCCAAAACCCACCATGAACTGCCTAGACCACCCTGAATTGCAGATGCCTCAGAATCTGCAGAAGTCGAAGTTGCCTACATCCTAGCAGAGCAGTTGTTGGAGAAGCTAACCGAATTTCGAAAGTCCTCCCATGGCAGTAGTGGTGGACACGGCTCTGGGCCATCGAAACTACGCGGAAGAGGAGATGACCGCCGGTTGCTAGGCGCGCAACCCGGGCGGACGGCGCCCGAGCGCCTCTGAGGTGTCACATGGTGTTATCTTCATTCGTCTTCTGGTGTTCTGCACTGTCCTGCCATGGACTGTTGGACTGTGGCGATCTCAGGCACTGGCGAAGCAAGCGATTCCAGACAGGGGCGCAAAGAGCCAGCATCGCAGCGATTCAAAGCACTGGTGGGCCATGCAAAAATCAGTAGCCTGGCCATTGCCAAGCGGGACGCGCACTCTCACATGTTGGCAGAAGCCTGCTTGTGACTTGCTCAGTATAGTATGCTGATCATTACTAGCTGAAAGGCTTGTGGCTTGTCCAAACCGTCCATACGGTGTACAAGGAATGTCAAGACGAAGCACTCTGAGGAGCCGCCGTATCTTCAAGCTTGGAACTGAATCAATATCATCTACAACACCGACATAAACAAGCCAACGGCTGCAGTCTGAGGCTGCTCTCGCTCTCATGAATGTCACATCATATGACGGTCTCAACGCCGAAGAACCATTGTCCCGACGATCACATTTTCTGGCTGAAGCTGCAACGGCCAGGCCGCCATCCTTTGGCAGCACCAATTTGCCTGGAGAGGCAAGCTGACATGCCGGCAATGTTTACAAGTAGCTTTGCTTTGCCTTGGGGCCTTGCGGTTGTACATGGACATGAAAGTCTCATGCAAGACGCACGGAAACTCGCTGCAAACGCGTCAGAACACAGGAGGTGCCTGATCCCGAGACCAGTCCATCTGGAAAAATGAAGTCCAACTGTTGCAGCAACTGCTGCGCAACCTGCTCCCTCAGCTCGTCGTCATGCACCTTTGGAACTACCAGCAAAATCAGCATATCAAGCTGTGCACGAGACGGTCATTTCTCACGAAAGTAATGCTCCATCCTTACTTGAAGCAGCACCAGGATCGGCTGAATGAGCACATTAACATAGGGACATACTGTAAGGTGCTACATTGTGATCAACCTTGTGTCCGACGAACGTGCTTGCACAAAAATGTACAGCAGGCATGGCTCATGATGGCAATGTGCCTCCTCACGCGTAGCTCTGCGCAGCTTCTTCTTCAAACGCCTGCCATCATTGCATCGAGGCAGCCCACATGCTGTGTGAGACACTGCCCCAGCCTCACTTCCAGCGGATACAAAGCATTGGCACGGACCACCCGCACCTGGCCAGACTGTGTGCCTGCTGCTGACCCACGGCTACTACAAGTAGTCCTTACTTTCTAGCTAGCCCTCATTAGGCTCTCTGTCTGGGAATGTGGACCGGCTAGTTCGGTCGAGTGGCCTGCAGTTTGCTGTTAAAAAGATCTGGGTCTTGGTGGAATGGCAGGATGCAAGCATCCACTGCCGCTGCGCGAAGTGCGACAAGCCTGAGCAAACACAGAGACTGTGCAAGCCGATCATGTACCGGCGAGGGCCCTCTCCCAAAGCTCCGACAATGCACAAGTCCAATCAGCCCAGCCCCCCAAACGGGGTCCAGGGCAAACCGAGGAATGTGTAAGCACGCACCTTCTTGCGCCGGACATTTGAGTTTCGAGGGCCAGAGCTGAATCGGAATCGATTGACAGCACAAGTCAGAGTCTCTTGTGCCTGAGGTATAGACTAACCCCCGCAGTGTCAAGTCTAGGAAAACAAATCAAGAAAAAAGGCGCGGGGTGGCGAGATTGGTGTTTGGATATTGGCCATGGAGGTTGAGGGAGGGGGGCTTTCAGGGTTGGGCAAACCCTCATAGACCTTCGTTGTTCCTCATGCTTGAGATAGGGGTCATGACGATCTTGTGGAAGCACTCCCCTCTGACTTCTACGAGAAGCACTGGCCAAGGCTACAACTACAACGCAGTAAGCTCAGCCGAGGGTCTTCCAGCCCTCTTCGTGCAGCCGTCGCACGCGCAGCCGGGGTGCCGCACGGAGTCGCGAAGTGTGCCATGAGTGCAAGGTGGAGCCTGACGAGGCCTCGACGACAAAGTCCTGCTGCGAAAGGACCTTGCAGCAGGCGAACACAATTGCAACACAATGCTTCAGGAAGAGCAGCTTTGCTGCCACTGAGCGCAGTACTAGGATGCCAAGGCGAAAGAAAGGTTGGCCCCAGTCCACATCATAGCAGCCTGAATACTGTGGCGCGGTGGCACACGACACCGTTGACAACCTCCTGGCAAGGCTTGGCCTGCAGGCCATCGAAGCTCGAAGCCGCCACTGCCACGCGTCGCTTCCGCTGCAAGGGTGCCAAGCGGATGCGGTGCTGCCAAAAGCAGCGGTGACAAGTTCAAGGCCTACAGGTCAAGCCGGTCAAGGCACGCGCCCGGATCGTTAAGACGTTTAAAGACATGTAAAAACCATGTAAAGACAAAAAGAGCGAGCTGGCAGCTCCTGTTTGCCGCTTGGCGGCTGCCAATACTGAGCCGACCAGCTGCTTGGCTTTTGAGATGCCCTCGTTCTCCTTCACAGAAGCTCGCACACTCTTTTGCTAGATGCAGATGTATTCAGGAAACACTGGCCTTTTTCCTGCGGCCCAGCTCCCAGCGTATTGCAAGCTCATCGAGTACAGATCGGCCTGCCATGCAAGATTCACAAGCTCCGCTGAGGAATTCTAGACATGACATGTGTACCGCAGATGTTTGCTTGCTTCGAAGGACCAACTGGCCCAGGCCAGGAGATCACACCCACGGCGCGAAAGATCAGGCGTCGATCGCGGGGTGGTGGATGGGGACTAGGGTCAGGCACCCCAGTGTCAGGATGGGCTGATTTCAGGACCCAGCCAAGACGATCCCTGAGATTCCCAGCCTCTCTTGGGATGAGCAAGACCAGGGTGGCAAAGACAGCTCAAGATTGACAGCGTTGTGTTGTGGGTGCTTTCCCAAGAAACATTCGTGATCTGCAAATCGCATGCCCAAAACATCCCCAAATCACAGAAGGGCCAACCGCCAACCCTCAACTCCACTGACAGGTCTTTCATCGTCTTACCGTGGCCTCCACTGTCCGATGTGTCTGGGAAGCTTTCATGAACCATGCTGTCCATACTGGAAGATTCTGGGAGCTCCTGAACTCGTCACCCGCACGGAAACGATATGCAAAACCACTCCGACGTCCTCATGTTCATCAGGCTTCGGCTGGAGCAGCTTCTGTTCATCTGGCCTCCAAACTGCCAGATCTTGCCATATCCAAGCTGGGCTGTCACAAGGCCATCAGGTGCCATGCCTGTCTGGGAGTGAGAACAGCTCCTGCGGGCTGCGCAAAGGTCGTCCCACATCAAGCAGCACCTTGCACGATGTATCACGACGTGCAGCTGCTATGGTTGGAGGGTTTTAACGCAGACAGGAGACACAAATGACGGCAAACACGCAAAACACGCAGACACATGTGAGCCTGTTCTGCCACAGGAGAGTGGGCTGCCTGCAGAACCTGGAGGTGCCTGGCTCGGGGGACTTCAACTGCCGATTGAGTCAAGAGTCCAGCTGATTCTTTTCAATTCTCCTCTTTAAAACTCACTAGTTTTGGAGAGGCGCTGGTGGGTTTCTCGGAGGAGAGTCCCGTATGTTCTAAGACTTTTTGCCCCATGCCCCCAACCGCTATCTTCACCTGCTCCCAGATATGTGTAAGGGAGTTGGATAGGTTCTTGACGTCCCTCAGCACAGCACAGCACTGCTGACCTCGCAATCTCCAGAAGTGGGCCTTGACGCCCCCTGAGCCCCAAACAGAAGCCCTGACTGTAAACCCTCGCATCCCCGTCTTGTGCCTCTTAATGCCTCAAGTAAGTAGACTTGAGAAGAGGAAAGAAATTCGAGCACTTCAAAACCGATGCTGGATATGCAGCATGGAGGCCTCCTTTCATGCTTCGACAAAAATTGGGCGCTTCTACAAGAAGTATAGATTCATCCTGCACGTCCAAGCAATGCGGACATCTGCCGTGGTTGTGGGCCTGTCTGCGATGGCCGGCAACACGGAGCGGACTGCATTGACAGACTCGAAGAGCAGCAGCGCCTAAAAATGCCAAGCGGTTCACAAACGGTTCACAAACGGCGTGTGAGAAAGGATTGCACATACACCATAAACTTGCACGGGTTCTCTCAAGGTGATCACAACACCACTCGGATGCCTGACTGCCGATTCCCAAGACATACCTTGACAGGCTATAGACAAGGAAGGCCCTGCAATGGTGGCTCATAATAGCACATGGACATGGATGACATGGCGGCACAACACCAGACACTGCCACAAGCCCCAAAGTCTGGGCACCTGACGTCGCAACTGTCTCGCGACACAGGAAAGTCAATAGCCAATCGGCAGAGGCTGCTGCCCTGCGGTCATCCGCACAATCCACAAACCGGAAGACATTTCAAAGCTCAACACACGTTTTTACCAGTTTCGGTGGCAATGGCATATAGTGTCGCCTTGGCACGAGATCAAGGGCACAGAGCGACCACAGTGCCACTAAAGCAGGTCGCGGTCGAAGCTCTGCCCCATGAGGATCCTGCGCCTCGCCACAGGGCACGAGCAGGGCATGAGCCGGGCATGAGCAGGGCATGAGCCAACATTCTCTGTGCCTGGCCTCCCAGCCCTCCAACTCAGAGACCAGCAGCTCAACCAGCTCTGTGTCCCGTTCACCAAGCTGCCTCGAAAAGGTGAATCACACCGCAGCCCCACTAGGTTACGATCCAGCTGCACCATTGCCATTTGCTTCATGAGTTTTCGGAGTTATGGTATGGACTATCATGAATGTCCGAGCGTCGCCAAGGCCCAAAGAGCCTCAGGTAAAGCAGCTTCCCAGATTGCATGCCCGACTGCCCGTTGAGAGAAGCTATGGTCGGGCTGTTGGCTGAAAGAAGCTTAGACTTAGAATTCTCTCTGCCTTTTTCCTTCCTTCTCCTTCTCCTTCTCCTTCTCCTTCTCCTTCTCCTTCTCCCTCTCCCTCTCCCTCTCCCTCTCCCTCTCCCTCTCCCTCTCCTCCTCCTCCTCCTCCTCCTCCTGCTCCTGCTCCTGCTCCTGCTCCCTGCTCCTGCTCCTTCTCCTTCTCCTTCATTCTTCTTATCCCGTCTCTCTCTCCCTCTCTCTCTTTATCTATCTCTCTCTCCTCTCTGGGCTCCAGTGCCCGCGACTCTGATCGACTTCGGCGAGTTGCCCGCTCAGACTCTCAGGCATTTCTGACTCTGCTTGGACTTTCCTAGCTGCACCGTACATCGGGGATGCATTTTGCATGTGGTTGCTCCCAGAAAGACCCTCATCTTATGAAACAGTTCCCTGTAGGTGAGCGACAGCTGAGCGGCTCGGGCTGTGTTTCGCCTTGAGAGTCTTCCACCATTGGCCTGGTATCTGCCCACAATCGCCTCACAGTTGCTTCAAAGCAGGTGCAGGTGCAGGTTCCTTCATGTTCAGTCAGGGATTGCACGACATTTCCACCACTGGGATTTGAAGAATGAGGGGCACCTCGGCGACGGCCCCGCAGCCGTTCAGGCCTTGTTGGCCAAAGGCCTCCAGAATGTCCACCAGCTCTGCCATGCACATCCTCTCAAAGGGAGATGTGCAACTGATGTGCAGACTTCGTCATAGGAGAGAACTCTCAATTCAGTACCCCTGCTCATGACAAGTCTTCTCCTGGCCAGCATGCCCGGCGCTGTGCGAACCAACGCAGTCTCTGGTTGCTCTTCCAAAGGTGGATCGACAGATCCTGACACTTCGCAAGTGCTCAGGTTTCAGCTTGCCACTTTTCTAGTTGAGGCGAGCTCGGCTATGCTCCAATCATGAAGACTCCTCCATACTGCTCGGGTCGCAAGGCAACTTTACAAAACGTTGCTGCTACGAGCGCAGGCCTTCAGCAACGCCCGGAGGTCCCAACTGCCTCGCCGGCAGAGTTTGGAGTTTGGACCCTACGCCCCTACCGGACATGCCGCCACGCGCGCACACACACGCGCGCACACACACACACATACACCAAATCCAACCAATCCCCCCAAGCCTTGAGCTGAGCGGAGATGGGCTTAGCGCACGCAGCATGCGAAGGAGGAGCTGGGAATCCTGTGTCAAAGCCCAGTTGAATTCGTGATACGGGCACGATTAGATGACAAGACATTCACCCTTCCTGGAACTTGAGCTCTGGGAACGATTTGATTGCTGCAGCAGCCTGAAGCTCCCAAACTTTTCAGCTGGAAACAACCCCTCAATGAGTCAACAGATGTCAACAGTGAGGAAGCATGCAAAGCCAATGAAATCCCATTACTCGCCTCGGCAGGAGTCAGTATGGACCACGGCCTGTCATAGCCGAAGCCTTAGCGAAACAAAACTTCTAAATTAGCCGTACGACACACACGAAAGTTCTGGTATACGTGTGATACTGGTACGTGCAACTTCCCCGCCTTTTGCCTGGTCATCGAGGGCGGACCCCAAGCGCGCATACGCTGCTTCGAACACATGGCGATATTCCTGAATTCAAATCCACGCAAGTCCAACAACTTTCAGCATGCACCCATGCCAAGATGGCCAAACTCGCAGACGCGCCTTGAAGCAGTAGCCTTTCAAGCTTTCAATGCAGCTGGCCACCTTGCACGAACATGCTACAGGTAGGCATGCCTGGACAGACCCCCCCCCCCAAACCTCTGCTGCCCTCCAATTCTAGAACGTTGGACTCGAGAACATTGGCTGTGCACACATGACACAAGACACACACACACACAAAACAAAAAAAAACTAAAAAAAAACATCGTCTCTTTGAAGTGGCAGCTAGGGCAGCTAGGGTCCCCATGGGCCCCTCTGCCTGCTTCGGCTCCATTCGGTGAAGCAAAGCTCCGAAGGCCAAGCAGAGCGGAAGCCGCAGCTCTTCCCGGGGAATCGGTCCACGCACCAGGCCTCCCGAGAACATCGAGGCGGCATGAGGCCTCCCATAGCCGATCCCCATGAGCGCAAGAGGCCCTTCTCATAGCTCAGCATTTTTTTTCATACGCTCACCAACATGATGCAAGTGGTCCACGGCATCACGAGCAGCTTAGGAGCCGGGCGCGTGGCATAGGCGAGGGACACGAATGCAGCGGGTGTCAAGGACAGAAGCCTCCCTGACCTACAACGGTTGAAACAGGTGGCCCCCCTTTACATCTTGCATTTCAAAAGCCAGCAGTTGTAGCTTGCTAGAAGAGACATGCCGACAGGCGACATCAATCGCTCGTCAAGACTTTGCAAGGTGCGACGGCTCATAAAGCCAAGCTGAGCCTTAGGATGCCGAGAAAAGCTGAGAACTGGCCAGGGTTCTACAGAGTTGCACTGCTGGTGCTGTTTACCTGCTATGCAGAGACAGCCTCTAGCGCATCCTGACACCACTGGAGATTGAAGATGAAGACGCTGAACAGACTCCTGTAGCCTCATGGGCATAGACCTCTCAAAACATGTTGATTCTGGGCGCCGCGCCATCGCAAGAACAGGGCGAGACAAGCTCTCCATAGGCAGAGCGCTGATTTGCGCAGCAGCATCCTTTGAAAGCTCCTGTCTGGGTCATATGTCAAAAAAACAGCTTCAGGCTATTTCAGGCTGGATGCAGGTGCGCATAGTACCCATTCCCACCTTGAGGAGCCTTTTGGCAGCCTGCCAGCGTCAGTTGAGGAGGAGGACTCCGTTCGGATGCTTCAGATCGGGAGTCCGTGCAGATGAATGTCAACTGCCACCTCGATGAAACCCAAGACCTACGATCTCCAAGCAAGAAGCCTTAGCCGCCTTAGCCGCCTTAGCCTTAGTGTAGGAGCCTCGTCATACAAGGGATGCGGCAAGCCCATGGCCACAGCAGTCCGATCGAAGGCATTCTTGTGCAAGGCAAGAAGAAGCAGCAGCGCCTTCCCATGCAGCAACCAAAACTAGACAAATAGAAATCAACCGGTACCAAGCGGTACCAAGTGGTAAGCGGTACCAAGCGGTGCCAAGCGGTACCCAGCAGTAGCAATCGAGACGACAGCCGAAAACTGACAACTACAGTACAAGGTTCATCGCCCTTCGCTTGAAAGTGCTTGTACTCAAAGATGCCGAAAAAATCAAGAACTAATTGTTCGTTTCCACATCGCGCTCAGAGAAATATATGCACTTTCACCTGACTCACGTCCCATTGGGTCACGCAACGTCTTTTGGGGTCCCGGAGCCCAGGGAATGTCCATGGAGCTTTCGCGCAAGACCTGTGCTTTGCTTTGTGCTTCCATGTTTTCTTCTTCTTCTTCCTCCTCTTCCTCTTCTTCTGTATCTCCATGGCCCAACGAAGATGAGGCCCGGAAGGGCACAAACCATGTTACTTCAAGGGGCTTGGGCAGTCACAGAATCCTAAATGCCCAGCGCAAGTTGTGCCCTCCAGGCTCCTCTGAGAGCAAACACGACGTGCTCTACTCTTTGCTTTTCCTTATTCGGGGCGTGAGGCGTGGAGCCTGCGTATCGGGTGCACCGATCAGACCTTCGGTCAATCAAGGGCGGCTCTTAATGTATGCCCCTTTTGCGTTCGTTCATTCGTTCTGTCTTTCTTTCGTTCGCTATCTATTTATGTCGCTCCATATCTAGTCGTTGCTCCTTTATTTCGAGTTTTGTTTCTTTCGCTCGTTATGTCGCTTCGATGCTATCTCGTCAATTTGGTATTTCGTTCGTTCTTTGTTTTCTGTTCAAGTGTGTGCATTTCGGTCTTTGTTTCGTTGGTTATATCTGTCCCTCGTTCTCTATTGCATTAATCCTTTATTTACGCAATTATGTCTCCCTTTCTGTAACTACTAGTATTGTTTATCGTGTGTTGACATTTCTTTCGTTTGCTCTTTTTCTCGTTATGGGCTCCTTGTCATTTCTTGCGTTATGCATGTCTTGCTGTACTTGACTGATCAACTTATTTATTTACCTGTTCCATGCTGTTCTTCTTTATGCATTGTTTTTATGTGCTTCGTTCTTTCTGTGTGCTTTTTTTCTTCGTTTGTTTCGTTCGCTCTGTCGTTCTTGCTTTATGTACGAGTATGTCTTTCTTGCTGTCTTTCTTTCGTTCCCGCATTTATTTACTTGGCTCATTGCTTTCTGTCCTTCGTTGGGGCATGAAGGCACCGTGGCCCTCTCTCACTCTCTTCCCGCTACTTTTCAATTAGCATCTCCTCTCCTTGTATTTCTGTCTTTCTGAACTTCGTTGCTTAAATATTTCCAACTTTGTCTGGTATCCTGTCCTTCTTTCCTTCACGGGGCTTTGGGTCCAGCCCCTGCTTCCTCTTTCCTTAAAGCAGGTCGCGCAAGTCATGGTTGCTGATGCATCTTGAAGTTGTTGATGCGTTTTGCTTTGCTTCTCATGACGGCGTTCCAAAAGCAAACAACACGACAGCATCGGATCAAAGCAACGGCACCTCGCGGTCAGCTCTGCCGATAAGCTCTGTGCGTGCCTTCGCCCAAAGTCCAGCAGAATCTAGCCGCCTAGCTTACATTTGCACTGAATGCGCACTGCATGATCTCTTAGATTCCCTAAGTTTGCCTCCAGCTCTGTCAGGAGCAAGCGGCAGGTCTTCACGTCGAGGGCATTGGCCTGACCAAGCGCGAGCAAGGCCTGGCCAGAAGCAGGCACGGGCGCAGGGAAAATGCTGGCCAATGCATGCCAATGCTTTGTGTGAACGGCAGCTCTCAAATGAAGTGCCTTGATAAGTGTTCGGCTACCACAGAGCGGCCAGGCGAACCTCGCACAGTCCCACAATGCACCATTGCGCATGACCGCCGGATAAGCAATACAGAAGCGCTTCGGTCTACAAAAACCCTTTGCTAGCATGGGGGAGGAGAGAGGGGTATCACATGCGTCGATATACGTCGTATACGTCAGTGTCCAAAGAAAAGAACTTCTGAAAGTCGACCGTGGAGTCAGTCAAATGGCGGTCGAGCGGTAGCCAGCACCGGAGCACAGGACAACTCCAACTCCAGAAGGGCACCTCAACGACTCGATGAAGTCCTCCAATGTCGCAGGATCCACCTGATGCTCGTAGTTGTACTCTGTCAGCGATAATTCATGCATCTTGGTTCTTGCTTTGGCAGTTTGTTGGAAAGCTCGTGCAGTACCCCGAACTTAAACCAGTAGTAGTCCTTGGTGACGACATGTCAATGAAAACACAATGAAAACACACAGCAATAAGCGTGCCTCCCCCACGTGGCCGCCAAGGACATCAAGAGCCTCGAACAACTCCTGCATCAGCACTGGCTTCGTCGTTGCAAGGGCACCGTCTCAACGGCTGAACGAACACAGCAAAGCACTCGCTGCTAAAGGCCAACCCCCAAAACTGCCCTAAACGACTGGCTGCTCCTGCTCTTGCAAGGCAGGCCCGATTTCAGCCAGCTGTGCCAGCAAGGCGGACAGCAGCCTGGAAATGCAAATCGCTTGAACAAACCAAGCAATGCGCGCGGTTCAGGCCCTGCGGTTTTGAGGGGCCGTTGCGATGGGAGTTTATGGAGGATACACAAGCTTGCAGAAATTTGGAAGCATACCGGTTCAAGCGCCTTGCAATTAGCTCAGACGGGCTCGAACACCGTAGAGCAGCGGCGATGGACACCACGGCTCGTCTTGTTTTTTGGCTACCGCCACGAGCAAGGCGAGGTTGGAAGCTGGGTGTGCTGGGACACAATCGGCTTTTCTAATGGGCATGTACAGTCATTACCGTAAGTCTCGAACCATATCACTTCCATGAAAATGGATCTGATCAAAGTAACCATAGCAACACATTACGGCAGAAAGTTTCGTTTTGTTTGCACTCTCGTCTGTTCTAGTTTAACTTTTTTACTGTACGGTCACCTGAAACAATCTTCGCCTCGGCTTCCAACCGAGAGGCGTCGAGAACAAGCAGATCAGGATCTGATCCTAGGACCCCCTTGGCCTGCTCAAAACTGTCGGTTGTTGGCTCTTGGGATGGCGAGATGCCAACCTGTCGCCGCTTGTGGACATCTGGAAAAAGCCAAATTTAAATGCTTCGCTTTCGGCGTCTGTGATCACCAAATGCGAAACTGTCGTCGCTCTCGGATAAACGCCCTCGCTTACCCTTGATGTTTGAACCCCTCAGTTTTGACACACTGACGCGAACTTTATCCTGCCTTGCCATGCCCCTGAAACCCCAGACCCTAAAGCCCCAAACACTGACAAATACACCCATGAACTCGAAACGCTCGAACTCTGCAGCGTGTGGAAACAGAACTAAACCACCCTACGAAGCCCGACAAACTCCTTCCTTGCCCAGCGCTGGTGCCGAAAGACGGTTGGCGGACTGGGAAGCCGAGCCCACTCGCGCCGGGCAGGCCCCCGACAGCGTTTGCAGCTGCCTGGCATAGGCTTGCAGCGGTTTTTTCAAATCAACGACCAGTATGCTCTTTGCAGCCTTCCTAATTCGTGCCGGAGCAACCAGCACCGCTGAGAGATCTCGGCGAACAGCGACCTAACACAAAAGAAAACTCACACTTGTTTCCTCACACATAATGTACATACTCATACCTCGTTTCTTTAGGAAGTGGCATGCGAAGTGCTAATTTTTTGGGCTTTAACTGTCGCCCCGTGCCTTCTCCCGATCTTGGCAACTTCTTTCGTGACACGAAAAGGATACAGTGCAATCCCGAGACACAAGTGCAAGCACTGTAGCTGCTGTTGCTGTTTTCTTTCATCTTTTGTACGACATCTTTAATGTGCTTTTCTATGGAGAAGGGGCCGATGAGGGCACTACATAGGATGGCTTCAATATCCGTCCAGCAGAAAAAGGCCAAGCCACAATTGTAGAGGCCACTTGACAGGACAAGACAAGTATGCAGGATGCATTAAGTAGGCGCAATCGCTCCGCTCGCACATGCCGCGCCATGTCGCATCTTGCACCTTACGTGTCCTTCAATCACACACATCGCACCCTGCAGCTAAAGCTCAGACTCGTCGGATCGTTTAGCCCTTGGCGCAGCCTTTTCCCACATATTGTTATGGACTCATGGAGACGGAAAACCTACAAGTACCCACCTCAAGCTCTCAGCAGGCGTAGCTTAGACATGCTGCACCTTGCTCGATTGCGCGCAGTTGCAATCGACCACATGCCCACACATTTTGTTCGTCCACCATCCGACTAATCGAGGCAACAGGCTTCTGGCCAACAGCTGTCCTGTGCAAAAGCTAATGGTCACCCTTGACGTGCCGTACTATGCGCAACTTGAGTTTCAATAGAGGTGGACACTTAACTGACCCTTTGCTGTCAGCCCCTGGCGCAAGACATTGCCAAAATCGCAGCCACGTACATCCTCGAATTTGGGCTACACCGCTGCGCTTTGGAAAATACTGCGCTCAGTAACAAGAATACAGCTGAAGTTGAGCCTGCTGCATGCCAAGCCACAGCACATCTTAAAAAGCTGCAGCGCGGCAGTTTCAGAGTGAGACAAGTCTGCGACTCCCGTCGGGAGGCAGCAGTATTCGATTAACGGTTAACAGAGGTAGCAGAGTTAACATGCTCCGCTCAGGCCTCCTCAGGCAGCGGTCCAGGATCTGCCACAAGGCTCTTGCAGAGAGGACACGTCACGTGCGCCTTGCACCACTTCGTAAGGCCTTAGGTCTCGGATAGTCGCTGAGTCCAATGCTGTTGTGAGAGCATGGGGCGACTTGGACGGCAAGATAACAACAGCCTGTAGGCTCTTTTTACAACCACGGACCAGGTGGCAGGACTACTCCCACGCACGGCCCTGAACCAAACAGCGACGAGCTTGCAGGGCGACTATGCCCAGTCGAGCAGCCAGCATTGACGTCCAGATCCTGATTCCAGGATTGAGCCAATGAGCGCGTTCCAGCCAGACAGTCGCAAGGCTGCGACTGGGACTGGCCAACTGCCACAAAAACAAAGGTCATACGCCATACGCAGTTGTGACCCAAGGAAGTCGGAAGTCGGCAAGGGCTGCTGGAAAACCACAAGCCTAGTACAAGTAGAGATCCCAAGATCTGGGAGGCATGATGCCAGCATAAACATTTGTTCACCGCTTGTCCTGACTCTAGACATGACTGGGCTGGCATGCAGGATTTCAGAAGCCGAACGAAGCCGGAAAACCAAGGCAACACCGCTTCCACTATCCTGCTGTAAACGCATTGACATTCAGGGTCTGCAAACTGGGATCGCGCACAACTTTATTGGGACAAGCGAAGTCCAGGAGCATCTTGTCATCCAGCGCAGACGAACGTTGACAGTGCTGCATAGTGCTGCCAGGCGGCACTCCTCACAGTAGTAGTGCTTGCACGGCGTCCGCACCTCGGGTGGTAGGGCATTAGGCACGCACGAACGAATACTCGAAACCGAATGCATATGTCCGTACTGTAGATATGCTCACTAACGCATCACAAGCAGGATCAGCTACACTAATTCTATGCAGCTACGCATGAAAAGCACGATACTGTGAGACCGCATAAGTGGCGCAACTGTACCAAATCTGGCACCCAACTTCACGACCCAACTTCACGACCAAAGTTTTGCATTCCGCTCCACGTGCACGCGCAAGAATTACCCAGGTATATCGCTGCGCAGTGCTGCCCAGGCGTCCACTGTCTTCGAGCCAAAGGAAGACAAACAAATGCTGCACTCCATAATGCCTTGTACTGAAGGCAGCTCAAACAAGATCACAAAAATGGAAGATCGAGAAATTTGCGGCTGTTTCACTTGAGACCAACTCCAGTCCTTCTGGAGAGTTGCGATCGATGTGCTACGATATGCCGCTACTTTTGTAACCCACCACACGTACCACTTCGTGTATAGATCCGATGCTTTGTCCTGGGGCCGGGGGGGGGGCTTCGGGCTTGTCACTCGCCACTATTTGAAGTTACACCCAATCTTCAGGTACACCACAAAAAAGCCTGACAAGCTCTCAAGCTCGGAAAGCCCTGAAGCTAGGACAAGAACCATGGCAAGACACTACCATCTTCAGGGTCCCGAAGCTCCGGACTGTCTTTCGGAATCTTCCTCAAGGTCGGACATGGAGCAGTCAAGCAGCGATTGGCTTGTCAGGATGCACCAAAAAGAGTCACCAACATGCCATGCAGACAAGGTTCGGAAGATCCTTAATCATGGCAGCACCTGGGCCATCACTTCATACCCGAAAGACGTGGTTCACATTGATGCGTTAGCGAAGCAGCCAACTATGGCTTCACAACAACTTAAATGACTGTAAACGGCAATTGTTTATTGCCATGTGCGTCATGAGTCATGACAGCCACAGCGCTACCCAGCGTTGCCCAGAGCTACTCGAAACAAGAAGAAGCCTGTCATCAGATTCTGGCGTCGCACGATTGTCCGAGGTCGCCCTCGGACCTTTAATGCCCCCTTTGACACCACAAAAATTCTCCCTTACTAGCGGCTTACAGAAGCCTCTTCCTCTGAGCTGCAGCCTCGCACGCCCTCGCCGGAGTTGAGACTTGTGATGGCCAGCAGAAAGCGATGTGCGAAGACGATAAGTGGAATACCCAACTTGGCGCCAGAGCACAGAATGGCGGTGCTGCAGTGTGCTGATGTATGCTGCAACAGTGCAGCCACAGCAACTGCCATAGGAGGCTGAGCTCGAGACCACCAGGTACGCCAATGAAGCTCCTATCCTCAGGCACCATTTTTTGCGGCACCAACTCTCGGCCAATCTGGCAAGATTGACTTTACACAATTGCACAGAGCGGTCGACGACAGCAGTCTCACTGATGCTGTTGTTGCTGCTGCTGCTACTCTTTGCTGCTGCTGCTGCTGCTGCTGCTGCTGCTGCTGCTGCTGCTGCTGCTGCTGCTGCTGCTGCTGCTGCTGCTGCTGCTGCTGCTGCTGCTGCCGCTGCCGCTGCTGCCGCCGCTACCGCCGCTGCCGCCGCCGCCGCTGCCGCTGCTGCTGCTGCTGCTGCTGCTGCTGCTGCTGTTGCTGCTGCTGTTGCTGCTGCTGTTGCCGCTGCTGTTGCTGCTGCTGCTGTTGTTGCTGCTGCTGCTGCTGTTGCTGTTGCTGCTGCTGTTGCTGCTGTTGCTACTCTTTGCTGCTGCTGCTGCTGCTGCTGCTGCTGCTGCTGCTGCTGCTGCTGCTGCTGCTGCTGCTGCTGCTGCTGCTGCTGCTGCTGCTGCTGCTGCCGCCACCGCCGCCGCCGCCGCCGCCGCCGCCGCTGCTGCCGACGCTGCCGTTTCGGCAGCCGTTAAGGCTGCTGTTGCTGCTAATATGGTTGCCTTCGGCCTTTCTTGGCTGCGAAAGCCGATAGCATGATACCATGACAGGCACATGAAGTAGTGATGTCAACTACAAGCCAGGTGTCTGAAAATAAATGTACATCTTCGTGTCATCGAATAGATGCGGATTCGTCGTTCTGCAAGTGGAGGTGCCCTGATGTCCCATGCAAGGCATTGTTAAACTACAACTGCACAAGGTGCCTGCAGATCACGGTCCAAGATGGAGGATGGACCGGTTCCCGGTCCATTCGCAGACAGGCAGCACAGGAAGCAAGAGAGGATGGGCAGGTGGAGAAAGCTTTTCGTTCAGTCCTATTGAGAGATTGCCCACGGCATGGATGAGCAACACAAGTCATGCAAACCACATGCATGCAGAGCTAGAGCTGTCACTGCGAACACACGTGTTCCTGCACTACATCTCCGTGAGATACAGAGAGATATACACAGGCACCAGCACCAACAGCAACAATGTACTTGTTGCGCACCAACAACGTACTATTTGCAACGCAGTCTTTCGATGTCTTTATGAATACACTTGGACGTGCTGCGGGAGCAATCCGTGCTGGAACGGCTGGAAGGATTGAGGGGGGCTGAGTAGGCCCGTCGAGGTTGAACGCTTTTGAACGAACATTCGACTGCAAAAGGCGAGCGAGTTGCCTACTCATGTTCTTGCACGAATTTCTCGACAAAGTTTGAAGTCATTTCGTAAGGGGTTTGTCTGGTTTGTGAAGCCACTAGAGCTTCTGAGCGACCCAAGACTAGCCAGGGTGGATTCACCAATGCTGACTTGAAACCAATCGGCCTGGATAAGGGTGTAACCCCATATCATCGTGATCCATCCAGGAATCAAAGAAATTAATGTAGTGGACATCCATACCTTTGCTCTCACGTGCAATCCGCCCAAAGATATTCCAACTAAACTGGTAGCAACTTGATCTTCTGCAGAGCTGGCTTACTGCATGAGTGGTTTGAGAACCTCGTGCAACCAAAAACTACATTCAAAGCATGTCAAAAAGCACCGGCGAGGTACAGATCGCGTGGACATGCCGCGAACCTGCATGCAGCCTGGGGTCCAACTCTCAACATTTCACAGCTCGCAGCTTGCACTTGGCACGAATCTGCAGACTTGAGCGCGAATCGACTCTGAGCAATATGAGCAATGTGAGCAACTCTGAGCAATGCAATGTAATGCAATGTCATGCAATGTCATGCAATGTAATGCAATGTAATGCAATGTAATGCAATGTAATGCAATGTAATGCAATGTGATGCAATGTAATGCAATGTAATGCAATGTAATGCAATGTAATGCAACGTAATGCAATGTAAGCAACGGTTGGCCCTTGAGGAGAGTTGCTCCGCTATTCTCCCGACAAGAATGCTGCAGATCATATAGTATCTCCTCAGTTCGTATCGGAATCGAAGTGGCCAACGCAGTGGACATGCCCAGAACATGCCAACGGCTGATGCTGTATGCTGCTGGATGTCAGCATGGGCTGATCGCAGGGAAGGTTTCCATAGAAAAGAGCGGCAAGGAAGGCGCGCCAAAACACGATCACCAGAGCCAGTGAGGCAACCTAGGGCCCGAGACTCAACAGCAAGAGAGCCAGAAGGAGTGAGAGCAAGACAGAGAGAGAGAGAGAGAGAGAGAAGGGTGACAACACGAGAGCTTCCGCGGAATGCAACTGGCATGCAGTGTTCCAAGCCCTCGCTAAAACCGTACAGATCTGACATGGTCTTCCACCACCATTTAGGGATGTGAGATATGCTACATCATCACAGGAAAGATCCAGAGATGGAGCTGGGAAAGCAATAGAGGTAGAGACAGGGATGGAGAAGGACAGAGCGAGTTGGAGGGAAATGGAGGAAGCAACAGAAGAGAAAAAGAGACAGAGAGGGAGACTTCCTGGCCTCCCACTACTGCCCTGCAGCCGAGGAGCACCGAGTCCAAACAAGCCGGCAAAGCAAAGGCAAATCTCAGCAAACAGTTTATGACGAGCAGAGGTGTCTAAAGCCGGGATCTCACCACATTTCACATGACTAGTCGAGTCGTGGAACTGCCCTTGGAATGCCCTTGGGGCAGGATGCAAGATGCTGAAAGGCATTTTCGGGCTGGGGGCTTCTGCAACCAACAAGTGCCCGGTTCTGCAAGAGCCTGGGCAACTATGCACAGCTGCTGAAAATCATGAGCTGCTGAAAATAATGCGATTCCGGGCCATCCCACAAGTGCAAAACTGTTAGTACAATAATCCGTTTCTGCACACATGGTGTTAGCACCCGATGTTAAAAGCGCAGGCAAGGTGCCACCCAAGGTGTAAATCTTCGCATGATCTGCTCGACCGCCTGGCAGACTGTCATCACAGCATGGTGGTTGTGAGTCAACGGTAATCATGTGTGGGAGACGGGAGGGCCTTTGCAATGTGCTGTTGCAACGGCTTCCAGAAAGCCCCTATCCCGGCCAAACATGCTGTCGCTAACCCTCGCAAGGGGCACGGGCGGAACCTGAATTATTCGATGACTCGATGACCCTTCCATCGCGCATGCTTGCCGAGATGCACAACCTCGTCCCATTTACGCGTGCCTCGTCTCGAAGTCGGCGCTGCACGGATTCGCTATCCACCTGGCCATCACTGTGGTGGGACGAGAATTAACATAAAGAATCGATGTTGCTTCTCGAGGCAAAATTGTTTGCTTCAGGTGTGTTTTGGTGCGAACGCAACTCCGTGGGGTCAGTTTCCGCAGGCAAGGACTCCGCACGCATTGCATTCCATGTATTTCCATGTCATAGTATCTCCGACGGTCGTCAGTGGCTGTCAGCGGCCCTGTTCTGCACAATCCCCCCCGCCCAGGACAACAATCACACCACTCAGCTGAGACCCTTCAGAAGAGGAGTCCTGGAGGAAAGATGTGAACCGTCTTTGCTCCGACCACACGGGGCCCCGTTTGCAGAGAGCCAGGCGAATATCCCAAGATCACGGTCACAGCATGTCACAGCCCAAGCCCCCTTCAAGGAACAGATGCGGAATGCGGACCCGCACGTGCTATCACTGCGAGCGACACATAGCGACACTCTGGATACGCTGGGAGAACACGGCCCAAACAAGGAAAAACTTGGTATTTTTGTGAGTTGTCAAGCGCAAGAGCGCCTCCACCGGACGGAAGCCAACGTTGGGGTAGAATTCCCAACGTTGGCTTCGGCGCTCTTCATTTGCCCAGGATGCAATTCGCGGCCAAATTATTCCATCTTCTCAAAAAACGCTTTCATGCTCATCCTCCAGATCTGTAATTCAGAGTCGACAACTCTCGCGGTTTGATGTCAAGCCGGGGACGGGTTCCGACTTGAGTGTCATGCCATGTCATGCCCATACGTTCAGGACATTGCAGATGCCTGCCTGTCTCCGCGAAGTCGCCCGTGAGAGAAAGGGATCTTCTGCCGATCCTGGCAGCGACTGCTATGGGGTGTGTCGGTAAGCCTGAAAGTGATGTGTGACACCGAGGCTCAGAAAGGGCCTCGCAAGAGCGTACCAAAACAAGCTCAACCTCTCTAGACCATCGAATTCTCTGGCGAGGCGCCCGTGTTCTCACGATTGCTTGCCAAGCTTGGCGCCAGAGCAACACCACCGCTGAGGATTGCAGAGGCACTGCGAGTGAAGCTTGGCGATGCCGCCATGCCTGCACGAACCTGCAGGCCCCGATCACCCAAAACCAAAGGCTGTGAGGGGGTTCAATCGCAGCCGTGGACAGATGTGGGCAGGAACTGCATCAGACGCTAGAACCTCTAAAGTCCTCAACCCCAAACCCGAAACCCAACCGGGGAGGGGGGGGGGATACAATGGGAGGGGGGAGAAGCGGGGCCAAGGGAGTGCAAGCCGAAAGAGACCCTTCTCGGAACGACAGTCAGAGCGCAAGCGCCTCGCCAGGTTTAAGGGTTGGGGCTGAGGATGGTTGAGGTTCTTTTGGATGCAACTGTGCGTTTGTGCCAGCTGTTGCGGGTCCAAGATTCGAGCAACGTGGCCTGGGGGCGAGGACAATCGGGAAATGAGGAATGCACCCCCCCCGCCGGTAAGCTTCTCGAACTCCCGATTGTCGGGTCTTAGGGGGTCGAGCCCGGAAATAAGTTTGAATATTGGACAAAAAACTTTGGGCTTGATTTCGTGGTTATCCTCCGATGCCTCGGGCCGTAAGTGTTTCAGCTCCACCCCCCCACCCCCCCCACCCCCCCCACCCAAAAACAGTCTAGGAGTCTAGGAGCAAGCCGCGCTCTCTGGTTTGGGTTGCCTCGCCGCTGGGCCTAGGCCGAGGCGAGGTGCGTAGCATCAAAACGAGAGAGGCCCCCAGTGAGGCCCCCATCTCGGCCTAGGTCGCGCAAAGCCAGGCGAATCCTACCTACGAACATCATTGAGCCAGCTGCAGAGTTCGCCGGAACGATTGTGCCAATACTTGTGCTGGGAGCAGGCTTGCGACGGTAACCGAAACTTCCCGCAAGCTGTCCCGCAAGCTTGGTGCATCACCACGTGAGGTGCCAAAGCCTAGCAAGGGCAGTGTCGGAATGCTTTTTCCCGTCTTTGGACCAGGGTTTTTTCTCGTAATCGCTTCTGGCTACTTCGCTTTGTTATTCTTGCTCTTGTTCGGGCTCTTGCACTTGTACTTGCCCTTGCCCTTGCCTCTGCCCTTCTGCTTGCCCTTGCCCTCGCCCTTGCCTTTGTCTTGCTCTTGTTCTTGTTCTTGCTTCTTGTTGTCGCTGTCGCTGTCCTTGCCGCTGTCGTTGTGGTTGTGGTTGTGGTTGTCGTTGTGGCTGTCGTCGTGGTTGTGGTTGTCCTTGTGGTTGTCGTTGTGGTTGCCGTTGTGGCTGTCGTTGTGGTCGTTGTGGTTGTTGTGGCTGTCTGTGTCTTTGTCTTTGTCTTGTCAGTGTCTGTGGCTGTGGCTGCGGCTGTCGTCGTCGTGGTCGTCGTGGTCGTCGTGGTCGTCGTGGTCGTCGTGGTCGTCGTGGTCGTCGTGGTCGTCGTGGTCGTCGTGGTCGTCGTGGTCGTCGTGGCCGTCGTGGTCGTCGTGGTCGTCGTGGTCGTCGTGGTCGTCGTGGTCGTCGTGGTCGTCGTGGTCGTCGTGGTCGTCGTGGTCGTCGTGGTCGTCGTGGTCGTCGTGGTCGTCGTCGTGGTCGTCGTGGTCGTCGTGGTCGTCGTGGTCGTCGTGGTCGTCGTGGTCGTCGTGGTCGTCGTGGTCGTCGTGGTCGTCGTGGTCGTCGTCGTGGTCGTCGTGGTCGTCGTGGTCGTCGTGGTCGTCGTGGTCGTCGTGGTCGTCGTGGTCGTCGTGGTCGTCGTGGTCGTCGTGGTCGTCGTGGTCGTCGTGGTCGTCGTGGTCGTCGTGGTCGTCGTGGTCGTCGTGGTCGTCGTGGTCGTCGTGGTCGTGGTCGTCGTGGTCCTCGTGGTCCTCGTGGTCCTCGTGGTCCTCGTGGTCCTCGTGGTCCTCGTGGTCCTCGTGGTCCTCGTGGTCCTCGTGGTCCTCGTGGTCCTCGTGGTCCTCGTGGTCCTCGTGGTCCTCGTGGTCCTCGTGGTCCTCGTGGTCGTCGTGGTCCTCGTGGTCCTCGTGGTCCTCGTGGTCCTCGTGGTCCTCGTGGTCCTCGTGGTCCTCGTGGTCCTCGTGGTCCTCGTGGTCCTCGTGGTCCTCGTGGTCCTCGTGGTCCTCGTGGTCCTCGTGGTCCTGGTCCTCCTCGTGGTCCTCCTGTGGTCCTCGTGGTCCTCCTGGTCCTCCTCCTCCCTCCTCCTCCTCCTCCTCCTCCTCCTCCTCCTCCTCCTCCTCCTCCTCCTCCTCCTCCTCCTCCTCGTCGTGCTGGCGCTCGCACTCGCGGGTCGTGGGTCACGGTGCATTGGCTGGCTTTCTATTGCGGTATCTGACAACTCCATTCGATCAACTGCATTGGTTGCTCGATTATTGGTTGGCTGCTTGATTGCATGGTTGCTCTGCTGCTACATTGGTTAGCTGCTCGGTTGTCGGATGGGATGCCTGCTGGCGCTACTGCGCCCCGTGTTGCCTGCAATCCCCATGGTCTTCTTCTGCTAGCGGGCTTAGGGGGAGGCCCCTGTGTGCTAAGCACGCCCCTAGTGCATCAGCCAATGGTATACCTCAGTCTCTCTGTCTCTCTCCACTTTTCGCTGCTCGGGGGCTGCTCAAACATTTGACTCGGCCTCCAGGAAAGCCTCTGCTGCTCTGGCATCGCGACTGCCGGGAAGAAGTGCCAATGCCAGGTACGTTCCATCAGCCAGCGCCTTCCATCAGGGCGGTTGGCAAACACTGCGCAGACCCTTGCGGGAGCACATCAAGATGCCGAGGCAGTGCGACATCACCAGCAATACCCCCCCCACCCCCCCGCCCCCCGGCCATATTTTGACATAAAGTTGTGTAGAGCGGTGGCGGTGCCATGTCTGCACAATTGATGTTTCCATCAGCCTGGGCAGTTGAGTTCCACCCAAGTGACCCAGTGCAGTCCGAGACATCAAAGGCACCAAGAACAGAAGACAAGAGCACGTCGAATGACGAGAACTCAGGCTAGATTGGTTTGAACGTGCCGGCCTTGTGCCAGACACTCTCGAATTGGCTTCTCGGACTACGGCGGACGGAGGCAAACTTGCACCACCTACTTAGTATGTATAGCTAAATGACCCTTGTCCTTGGCCAGTCATGTTGAGGCGGTGCAAGCTTTGTCATTGGACCAAGTCCTGAAAACACTGTTCTCACGATAATTTCAATTGCCAGGCTCTGGTGCAAGACTTCCTCCATCCACCGTAGGACCGAGCTTGCGTGCACGATCGACTGTCTAAAAAGTTTTCAAGTCATCAAGTCATGAGTCATGAACTAAACAGCACTGCTGGTAGACTCAGATGAACCCACAGCTACATCTGGACGCTGATACGCCTTCACAGGGCTGTGCATACGAAAGTCCTCTTTGGGATGGTATGCTTTTGCCTGGCTGTGGTACGTCTCTCCATGGGTGTGCGCATCCACCGCCAACTCGGAGTCTTCCGCCACTCTCAAGGTAATCACGAGTCTCATGACAAGCACAATTACTGCTGTTCCGATTGCAGAGAACGCGACACTGGCCAAAGCACCGACGATCTGCTTGCCCAGCAACATGAAGCTGCCTGTGTAGATGAGGCCCGCCTCCTCTGCAAAGATGCCTGTAAGAATGGCCCCTCCAATCCCACCCATGCCATGCAGCCCGAAAGCATCCAACGTGTCATCCACAAGGTTCATCCGGTTTACAGCCGCAACAGATAGATAGCACCATGGAGCTGCAAGAAGTCCCAGTATGATGCTCCAGCTCGGGGCCACATATCCTGCTCCCGGAGTGATGCAGACGAGGCCTGCAACAGCTCCCACCATGGCACCCACGGAGGACGACCTTCCTTTCAGCAGCCGCTCCAGGACAAGCCACGTAAGCATCGACGAAGCGGCCGCTACCATCCTTGCGTCAGCAAATACCCAACGGCACGCATCCGCGGGACACCGATTGCAATCTAAATAATCTAAACTGCACGATGTTGCAACAACTCATTGTTTCTAGGCACAACCCTCATGCTATATCTCCAGCCAAGCATCGTGCTGGCCACAGCTCGTGCCGCAACACCATCTGACACTGACAAAGCCGATCCACCGTTGAAGCCTACCCATCCAAACCAAAGAAGGCAGCCTCCGAGAATGACAAAAGGAACACTGGTCGGGCCGAGGTCCTGGCGAAAGTGCGGGGAAGGCAGTCAGACAATCATGACAATCTCAAGCTTGTCAACTTGTGCCTTTTATATTCTATCCCAGGCTGTGAGGCAATCTTCTTGGCACCTCATGCTTTTTGGTGGGGTGTCACAGCGGAGCCCGCAACATTCCTGTCCAGCTTTCCTGTCCAGCATTCCTGTAAAGTTTAAAGCAACTCCCGATTTCCCGCACGTGGATTGTCTCGCAGTGTCAGAAATGTCGTGTGCCCGCGTCTCAGTTGCTTCTCTCAACACATGATCCACAATCAATGGCATTTGTTGCGGTATGGGCAGAACCTGCGATAGACTGGAGACCAGGAGCCTCAGGCCGATTCCTTGCGAAGGCTAGTCGCGGTTAGTTGCTCGGGGAGTCGCAGAGCTTTGAAAGTTGAAATGGTCTGATTGTTCACCGGCTACAAGGCACACAACCAAGGAAAAGATGAGGGGCAACCCATCTTCAGCTGGGTAAACGAAGTCCGGTCCTCCTCCGCGCGCCTACGCGGGCCAATGATAGCCCCTGCAACGAAGCCAGACACGCCAGAACTGATGTGAATCACGGTACCGCCCGCAAAATCCAGGGTACCTTGGATCTGCATTGAAAACTTGGACAAAACATAAATGAACAGCGGGCCGCTACAGCAATAATCCCCTCCCCTAGTAGTAAACCCCCCTCGACCCCCTGATACTAAATACCCACAGTACATTTGTACTACAGTGTATGGGGCGGGGTGTCTAATATGAGGGGGTAGGGGGGAAGCGGGAGGGGATTGTCATAAATCGTCAGCCAGCACGCCCATTTTGTGAATCCAGCCTCCCGGACTCCAGACCCAATGCGCCAGTGGAGCATAGATCAGTATGGACCACAGTGCTAGGAAAACAACGTATGCGCTGAAGCGCACACGCTCTACTAAAGACCCGGAAATAATGGCTGAGGCGATGATCGCGAACGTCATCTCGTATGTGGCAAAGCAAAGCCCTGGCAAGCCAGTCTTCTCATCCCACAGCCGCATGTCGAGATTTCTGAACAATGCGTACTCGAAGTTGCCCACCCAGGCCGCGTCGCTCTCGCCGAACGCCAGCGAGAATCCCACTACCACCCAAGTCATTGTTACCACACCCATTGCTATGACGCTCATCATCATGGTATTGATGATGTTGGTATCACGCACAAGGCCTCCATAGAAGAAGCTGAGTCCTGCAGTCGGAGAAACTGTCTCTGCGACACAACCTAGGCCCGTGGGTGGTTTGAGGCAGCGCGTGATTGGGAAGACGCGCTGGAAGAAGCGCGAAGTGTAAGGAGGCGACAAATCGCCAAAAGCAACACATGCCCCAGAGAACTCTAGGGCGAGATGCACGCAGCCGCTGATGCTGCATCTACCGATATCTACCGCAACCGACACCCGTAGGAATTTACAGGCAGAGGCAGCGAGCATCTGGGTACAGGGAGCACGCACCATTCAGACATGGCGACCAACCCTAAGTATTCAACCGAACACTCAAAATCCTAAACCCCAAGCTTGTTTTTGAGCTTTTGGGGATGCTGCTTGGGGCCAACAGAGACGTCAAAGTTGTTGGTGAGCTCAAGGGCACGTTGGCAGCTTTTGAGGGCTCGCGAAGCATGTCAAAAAAAGCCCAATGACAAACACAAACGCTCGCACTGAAGGGCATGCCAGGCCTGTTCACGAAACGCTCGAAACAAGATCACCCTGAAGGCTGGGAAAAGGTTCAACGGAAGGGACGGCAGATCCCAAGAGTCGATTTCGGCGCCCGAGCACTGCGGGAGGCGCCAAGCAGGTAGGGCAACGATTCATCTCAGTAGCTTCCGACAATGGGGTCCGTCAAACGGCTCGGATCAGCCCCCGCACATGTACTGGGGTTTCGTGGGTCAACCATACGATTCGGACAAGGCGGTTGTGCAAGCCCTACACACCGACCCATGGAAGCCCTAAACCAGCTCCTAGCTGCTTTCCGCCAAGGACGACTGCCTCCGTTTAGGGATTAGGGTTTAGGTCTTGCCAGTCACGGAAGCATAGTGGATTTATAAGAGAACTCAAGATCATAAAATATTCTTTGGTTTCTTTTCCCCGGGGTCGGGGGCCGAAATCTATTCTAAGGGGGGTTTGCCCGGCCCGTGACTTCGGCCCCCGAACCCTGAGCCCCAAGCGCTGAAACCGAAGTGACCTTGAGCTCTCTCTTATAATTCCCACTATTCTTCAATGACTGGGAAGACCTAAACCCTAAACTCTGAACGGAGGCAGCGACCTGCGACTGCTGCAGAAAACCGCTCGGAGCTAAAACCCTAAACCGGAAACCCAAACCAAATTTCAAGCAATGTGAAACCGAGCCAAGTGTGTCGGATTACCTGCAGACCTTGATCCTCTTGGTGCTGTTCGGGATCCGAAACGTGCCACTTGGCTGCGCTGACACAAATACGGATTGATCTGAATCGGTGATGCGATTGGGCGAGCTGCTTGAACTACCAGCACCTTCGATGCCAAAAGGCAACCGCCAAGGGCAGCGGCAACACTGGTACTGGTGCGGCACTAATACGGAACTAAACCGGTAAACGACAAAACCTCTTCAACCAAACGGGGCGCGTGAGCCGATAGCTACTTGAGTTCAGAGTGGGCAAGTTCGCATCTTCAGGCTTGCAGCTCGGAATGTCGCTAAGGAGTATGACCCCATGCCTGATCAAACCGCTCTTAAAAGAGATCGGCGGGGCCGTAGCAGAAGCCATTGTGCCAAAACCCCAAGAGCGAGCGTACACGCTCGTACCAGGAAACTGACGACGTCGCCACAGCCACGGCTGCAAAGCCAGAGGCTGAAACCAGCTTTGCGCAAGGTGAGTAGCAGAAGGCCGTTGAGTGCGCCAACTTTAGCAGCAAGGCGAGAGGCACAAGGGAATCACCGAACCTGCTTTGGGGGGCGAGTCGCAAACATAAACACAGCAGCTCTGAGGATGCAAGTGAGGCTCTGTGGCGAGGAGTATGGTTGGTCATTTCTTGTCAGCTAGAAAACTATGGGGCCCTGCCAGCTCGCAATGTATACAATGCTAAGTTGAGGTTTAATTGCAACGTTTGACTGTAGACTAATCGTAAGATAGTTGTCTGATGAAATAAGGGAGTGCCAACATAACATCGCATAAAAAGAGGATCACGAGGGCTTGCGGGCCACATAGGAGCCGCTCTTGGCCAAAAAGGAACTCTAAGGTGTAGCGTCTAACACAATCGGGAACCAAAAGGAACAAAGAAGGCACGGAAAAGGGCACAGAAGGGCGCACACTGGACCTTAGCAAAAGACTACAAAAGACTCAAGGTAGGGGAGAGGGAGACTTCTTCAAAGAGGGACTCGAACATGGGGGGGGGACACGCTGACACGCTCCCAGATGCTCTACAGATCTCTACAGCCACGGTCCTGCGGTCATGAGGAAGACCAGCGCAGTGGAGATTAAAGTCCATGCAACTGCCCCCACGTTTACCTGAGCATCTTCGTGCAAGCACTACGTTGACTGCATGCAGCATGGCAATGCATAATGCGAAGATTCTAAGAAGCGAACCGCATCTGGAGTCAACGGGGTATGTGCCATGGCTCAGAAGTGGCCCGGGCAGGAGCGGATCACGGTACTCATCTCGACAAGGCACATCAAAGAGCCAGGAAGCGAAGCTGAAGCTTGAAGCTTGCTCCTAAAATCCTACATGTTCGACAGAGAAGGCGCCTGGGGAGCCAGCACACGGCGCAACTGCCAAGCGCGTCGAAGCACGGATGTCAGGCTGGCCTGATCCTCCCGTCGACGGACTTTTCATGGCTTTGCTTGGGTTGAGGCTTTGTGTCAAGAACCCCGAAGTTGCTCTGCTAACTTCTAACCATGGTCCTGAGCAACCCACCGACGAAACTCAACTGAGATTCCACGTGCACGCTCCTGGCAAATGGCGCTAGGCTAAGAGTAGGCCACTTTCGCCAACTTCACGAAGAGTATCATGCAATCAGGAGAGCGACCTTGGCCTCGCGCTCGGCCGCATCATAACACTCGCGCGCAAGTCGCAACACCTGCCAAGAGAAAAAAAAAAACATAGGAAGGCCGTAGATCTCAGACCAATCCATTTACCTCCTGAATGCTGCTGGCCTGTGCCACTTCAATAGGACCCGCATCTGGCCGCAGAGCACACAACAAGTCCACCTTCAACTGCAGAAATGGATTCTTCCATGTAGGGCACAAGACATCACAAGACCTCAAGGCACGATGCACGCCTTCAATTTCAGGCGCAGCTCTACTGGGTCCATCTCCGGTCCATCCTGCAAAATGTTGCACGCGAATCTGCATTCGATCACATGGCTTCACAGTTCAGAAAGTCCTGCAATCACATGCTTGATCACCTTAAGAAGCCTCATAAGTGCTCGTAGACCCACCCGCAAACAAAACGACACATAGGAGCATAGCCCCATAAGCGCACATAGGGCTCCGTGTTGGGGGAGTGAATTCGGGTTTGCAACCGGAAACCAACCCCCTTTTTCAGGCACAGCTTGCCACACCACATCTCCTTTCTTTAGGGTCTGGGGCTGGCTAGACCACATCTCCTCATAGTAACCAGGGTGTAGAGTTCAGGGCTTGTCACGCCACATCTCCTGAGGATTAGGGTATCTTGGGCTTGCCGCGCAGCACCTCTCTGTGGGGTTCAGGGTTCAGGGATTTCAAGGGCTTTCCGGTGTGTTAATGTGCTTAAGGGGATTTGTTTGGGGCTTTCGGGTGCTTAGGGGTTCTGTAAGTGTTTGCGGGCTTTGGATTTCTAGGGGGCTCGTGCCTGGGGTTTTTCGGGCTTAAGCTGCACATCTGCGTTTTGGGGCTCAAGGCTTGCCATGCCACATCCACTTTTACAAGGCTTGACAACATCCCCTTGTGCGATATCTCCTACTTTTACGGACTAGGGTTTGCCACATCTCCGTGTGGGTTTCAGGTTCAAGGGTTTTAGTGGGTTTCAGGTTCAAGGGTTTTAGGCTATGCTCTGTTGGGAACCTCGTTCGCTGGGAGTGTAGCTAGAGCTGCCGCGATCTCGACTTCCACCTCTGCCTTCTCCTGCCAACAAACCGCAGGCCAGTCCAAATCCAAATTGGCATGCGGTGTCTGAGTGAGCACCCTCGCGCAGGCACACTCCAACACAACCAAGCGCGAACAAACAGTGCACTGTCAGTACACCCAGCTATAGTCAGGCCCTTGTGATTTCAGGAGCAACTGCGCTGGCTAAAGTCCATGCACCTGCCGCGTGAAGGGCCGGGCAAGGTCGAAGCGCAGTGCCTGCAGCAAGTTAGCTGGCCACCGGTTTACCCTCTTATCGGCTTGTCGAATTTCAGCTTGGTTGATCCCTGCCTCTCTCCGACGTCTTCTGGGGCGTCTGTTGGCCTGAGCTACCACAGCACCGCACACAACTTTCACAACAAAAACGTGGCAACGAATCAATTCAGGTGACAGAACCACATACATGCAGGCAAGGATCTGGAGCTTCCGGCTGAGGTGGCCTGCAGACGAGCAGAGGAGCACGGGAGAGATTCGACACTGAGGCTTTGTTCGTCGTTGCACCTCGATCGGTGCGCAGCTGTCGTGCCATATTGCCGCCACACACATGCCTGAATTCATGGAGTCGAAGCCGATGATGTGCTACTGTTGAGTATTGACTTAGCGCGTAAGCGGTTCAAATTTGGCAGAGAATCAGCACACCAGCGATAATAAGCATGTCATTTTCGGCCCAGCCACAATTTCGGCAAGTCAAAAAGCTTAGAGCCGTCTGCTGAGGGACTTAAGGCCTTAAAGCCTTTGAGGCCGTTGAATTAGACGGCCACCTTGCTTAAGGCATGCCATTAAGGCCTCAGGGCTGCCAGACCCTCGGAGGGAGGGTCGTGCAGCGTCTGTATGATATACGGTTGCCAGAACCGATACCGAGTCCGCGGCCGTTCTAACCACAGAGGCGATGGTCCTGGCATAGGCTTGCAACGCAGCTCTCCATCCGTATCATCATGTCACACGTTGGGGTTCTCTCAAGCCAACTACACTGTAAATGAAGAACATGTGACAAAAGAACTGATGAGATGCCACGACACACCTGGAGCACTAAGCAGAATCCAGCCTTGTGGCCAAGCTGCTGGGTCTGCCCATACCGCCATGGCTGCTCTGTGCTCAATGCCCAAGGCCAGCAGTGCCAGCAATCAGCAGCTCAAATCAACAGGCAGCCCAGAGTGCACGGGTAGCTACGAGCAAGAGCTCCAAGATGCACGCCTTTGATCGAATGACTGCCACAGTACTACTTACGTGCTGGGCTTTCTCGAGTGCAGCTCTACTTGCCGCTTGTGGCTGACTTGTCACAAACCGAGGGTCGCGTTCCAAATGGCCCCTAAACGGCCGTTGCCCAAGCACAAGGTGCACGAAAAGGTTGCCGACCTAGCCGCTCCTACAGTGCACAAGCTTCTTTTGAACGACGGTGATGCCAGGACGAACGGTCGTTTCTCCGAAGACCCTGAGCTGTATAGCGGCAAGTTACATCGGGAGCGTCGGCAAGCCAGAAGATTTCCCGCTCCAAAGTCAGTGCTTACTTGTGAGCACTTTTCAGGTGTTCCCTGTACAGCGTTGCCTCACCTAGACATTAACATACATTAACCAAATCACCGGCTCAATCCGTCTCAAAGGTAGACGGAGCCGCGCGGCACATCCTGGCAACCACTGCCAAGCTGTTGCGTCTCGTGCGCTGCTTGGCAGTGTAGCGACCGTTCGGGACAGGAACTTCGACAACAGCCCGCTTCGAGCAAGTTCGTGAGGAAAGACGACCGCTTCACCAAAGCGAACAGTGGAAACAGGACACCGGCAAGCTAGTGGTGAGAGCGATAGCTATAGCTCTGTACGGAGTTAGTGCAGCCAGGGTGGGAGAATAAGGGTGTGATGGGTGCTGCAAATTGAACTGGCCTCTAAGCCGGTTTGAGAAGACGCATGAAAGGTGCATTGACTGGTGCTCCCGGCCAGGTTTCTCGTGAACAAACCAAGTTGCTTTCTCCGGTCGCCTCTTCTACTAATCTCAACAGACACTATGCATCGCTCCCATCCCTTCTTACCCCCAAGCAAACCTTAAACCCACGATTTCGCGGGCTCCGCCTAGAGTCTGGCCGTCCCAAGAAGACTAAGAGAAACCTTGAGAAGAAATTGAACAAGGAATGATCGCGAGCGAGAGCTCCAAGGAAGCTCGCATTCATGACTCTCTGTTTTTTGAGCAAGAAAGCCAGGCTATCCAGGCATCATCGTTCGATGCCACGACGTGTGAGCACCGGCTCGACGAACGGACGGACAAACAACAACTCAAGTTTGGAGATACACGTCAGATTCTGGCCAGATGCCCGGTCGATGTTCTCATGAGTTATCTGAACTGGGTTCACTGAGCAATACTCCCTTTGAGTCAAGCTTCAACACTGCGCGTGCTACTGCTGTGAAGCAGTCAAGAAGTGTGGTTCGCAAAAAACATAACAAAAGTCACAGGTTGGTGCAAAGCTTGTGTAGCGAGCCGTGGGCATGACAGCAAACCGACTTCGCTGGAGGCCACAGGTGCACAGCGCTCACGTGTCTGAAGTTGCGATCATTCTGAAGGTGATGCTACATTGCTACATCATTCAGACCGCCCCTATGTGCCATGCCCTGCATTTGCTGTTTGATTGCTGTTTGAGCGCTTGTCCGACCATGGTCCTTGGCACAAGCCCAGTTGGCCTCATCGGAGAAAGGAATCTCCTGCCGCAAGCCCAGAGCAGCATAAAGCGGCCGATGGTTTTAAACATTGAAAAAAAAGCAGCCAAGCAACTGGCAAATTTGCAAAGCAGGTGCCCGACCTGGCTCTCATTGGCCCGTGTTTGCCGCAGTACATACCCACAACAGCAGCCGGAGAGCACTGCTGTCCTGCGGTGTGCTACCATATCAAGACAGTTATAAAATTGGTCTCATACAGTTCTCATCATTTCTCAACTTACTCAGCTTCATTCAATAGTTCAATCAAAGCCGCACTGCGCAACCGCAGAGTTGCAAATGGCCAGCGCCGTTGTGTGGAGCGAATACAAGTAGAAGCCTCCGTGACAACTGCCCTGCTCATGCGATACCCTGTCAACGGCAAGAAGTGTCGGAGAATGGTCCGATCAGGTGCAGCAGAGACGCCCACCCAGCAGAGCTGGAACACCATGTGCGAAGAGCACGCCACAAGTGTCTACACCGCTGCATGACAGAAACCGGAGTCCCAGAACAGAAACGGCGCCACTGGCAGAACCAACCTGGCAGTGAGCAGACATGAATCATCATACATCCCCCTTTTTAGATCTAAGCTGCCAAAAAGAACGAACCAACCCGATGGTCACAGGCGAGAGACCATGACTGCCAGGCCGGGCTCCACAACATCTGCCACCGCAGTGATCGAAATGCCTGCTGAGCAGATTCAACTAGCATCAACTAGCAAACTATGCCAGGGTTCCCTTACCTGAAGCCTCTCACCCGTCTTACCCTGCGGTTCGCCAAGTTCATGTCTGCTTCCCAACTTTCCAAAACCTCGCAAGGCCTCAAGGAATCCGAAGGATTCAGCCCTTGCATGGCTCCTTCTGCTCTGCAGAGTCCCGGGAAGCTCTCAATTTGGGTGCGATTCAGAAAAACATGGCAAAAACAACAGGGACAGATTCAGCAAACAACTGTTCAGAGACAACCAGCTGAATATGGAAAACAACCCGGCAAAGTCAGGCACGAAACAACCCCGCCGAAATCAGGAAGCAGGCACGACATAGAAGGCCAGTATTGGAAAAGTCCGATGCGGAAGACCAGGCACGAGTGAGGAAACCGGAACCACAGCATGCCCGAGTCCGAAGACCAGCCACCACTGGAAAAGTCACGAAAAGGAAGGGCTTGGTTCAGCAAACTGGAAAACACACTATGCCAAGACGCAGAAGACCAGGGACGATTGGAACAGTCACAAAAAGGAAAGGCCTTGTTCAGCAAAACAGAAGCCTTAAAAGCCCCGAACCCACGAAGCCCTAACCCCGCAAAAAGACCTAAAGTCTAGAAGACCTAAACCCTAAAAGCCTTAAACCCTAAACGCCCTAAACCCCCTAAAAGCCCTAAACCCGGGCAGCCCTAAAAGCCTTACAAGATCTAAAAGCCTTGAACCGCAACAGCCCTTCAGTATGCCTACCAGTCCCAAACACTAAAAGCCCCAAACCCTAAAAGGCCCCTAACCCTAAAAGCCCTAAACCCTACGAGCTATAAACCCTAAAAGCCGCACACCCTAAACCCCAAAGCCCCTCAAAGCCCTGAACCCTAAAAGCCCCAAAACCCTGAAGCCTTGAAGCCCAAAAGAAAACGCCCTGTAGTAGACTTAAAGCCCAAAAAGCTCTAATTCAGGCTCCGAGAATCTTAACTTGTAAGCAATTTGTAAGCACCAGAAGCACTGAAACCCCACAGCTGTCCAGAATCCGCCGAGGAGGCACCCCGTCTCCAAGCCCGAAGCCACACGTCCCTTTTTTTGCCTGGAACCCCCCCGTAAGTGACCGGGATCTGAAAGCGGACAGTTTGCCAGGACCATGGCCACCCCCCACCCCGCCCAGTTTTGGCTTTTGTCCTCCAACCCAGCCCGAGAAGCTTTTGGTCCGGCAGGCCTGTACTTCTACGTCGGAGCATGGCAGTCAGAGTTGAGGGTACAATCCCCTCAAACCCATCTGGCGGCCCTTTGTCTGGCCTTTTGCCCCAGGGGGCCATGGGTACTTTTTTGGTAGGGGCAGACGTGTGCGGGAGTAGACGGTGCAGGCCCCGCCTCCCCCCCCCCAATGTCGGCCCCCTCTCCGAGAGCTGCATGGGGTCAGGCCGAGGCGGGTCGCGTAGCGTTCAAATAACAGTTTCCTGAAGCCTCCAAACGTACCCGTACGTCGCACTTTGTTATTCTTGAATAATTGGGTTGTGATGCTTGCTGAATGTAACCCTCTTTGCTGTGATTTCTGGCAGTTCTGTTTTTTGAATGTGACCGTGTCGTTGTTGACCTGGCCGAGACTGCTTTCTGAATTCGGCCTTGCTGTCTCTGACTATCCCGTCCCTCTTTACTGACTTTTTTTGGCTGAATTTTCAGCATCGACTATCTCGGCTTGTTTGATTGTCTTTTGTCACAACTATACGGAAGGCAACAAGCCATGAGGAGGAAGTCGGGAGTGCAACAGACCACAAGCTTGAAGGGGCGTACACAAAGCATTTTACAAATCTGTCACAATCAGGGTACGAGTTTCGCCTCACCGGATTCGCGCACTTCTATCAGGCCACCGCAAACCTCGCTTATCCTTGCACGTCAAATCTTACTGAGCAGGTCTTCGCCCGGACAAGCTGAACCGGCCTCCAGCAAGAACGGCAGTACGGATGCTTGCAACATTCAGCTTGCCCAAGTTGCAGAAGGAGTCTGTGACGAAGGCTGACACTGTAGAGCCCAGCCTACTGCTGAAGATCAGATTGAACCGTGGAAGTGGCGCCATGACTGGCAGCCGACCCCGTGTCTCACCAACATCTGAGACTGTCTGCATCCGGGAGGCAAGGCCAGGATGATGCAGATTCGCGCGTGCTGATTCTGGAAACCAAATTCGATGCTCGGAAAGCAGATCCAGAAGCACAAAGTCCCCAAAAGAGAGAGGAGGTCCTGTGGCCAGCGCCATGGGAGTAAACCACGCGCAGGCAGTGCTTCTACTTCGACAGCGAAGCACAGCAAGGCAAGTGGCTTCAGAGCAGCGTAAAATGCATAAAGCGGTGTCCAGAATGTAGCTGCTCTGGTTCAGCCAGTCCATCTCCACGGGGCCAAGGATGCGTGCAGCCGCGTAGCCAAACAAGGCTCCGAAGAGATGAATCTCAAGGCCCTTGATCCCTGCACTGCGACCCTTAGCGGCTTTGTCTGAAAGTGGAAAAGCAAGAAAAGAGCAGGACTTGTCGGGATGCTTGCTGAGGAACATGTAGTACGCGAGTGCTCAATGAGAATCCCACGCATCTGCTCCAGCAATAGCACGGCAACCTTTGCTACCAAGGAGAACGCATCTTCTGCAGGAATGCTCGACTTATGCCTATGCCCGATTCAAGCAAGTCACTCTATGAGCAGAACAAGAAGAATTTGATGAAGACTCACCTGCCCCAGAGAAATCGGAACGATCGAGACAACATAAACAACTACAACTGCGCAGCCTGTATAGATGCACTGAGGAAGGGGTCAAATCGATGTGTTTCGCCAGAGCGAGTGAACGGCTTGCTGGAGTTATGATTTTCAGAAAGCCTTGCAGCAAACACTTGGCACAGTTTCGTTCAAGAAAACGATGGCGAAGAAATGAAATGCATTGAGATGCATTGAGATGCTGTCAGATCAGCTTGGACGTGCGTGGTGGTGAAAAAATGGCGAAACATCTGAAAAGTCTGACAAGTCTGAATGCCTTCTCCAGGCCTTGCCAACCAAAGCTCCGAAAGAAACCAGTGCAGTTGCAGCTGCAAGATATCCCGACCTGTGAGGTCTGGAGAGATCATGCGAGAACTGGGTTAAAGCCGCAACAGGAGCGCGAGAACGAAAGAGCATTGCACATGCCGAGACACGTCAGAGAATCGAAGCTGATGGTCGATACTGTCTGCTTGAGTATACTTTCGAGCATCATCGACCACTGTATGGCCAGGCATGTGATCATCATGCAGAAGCCCACCGCTCCCAAACCGTACCTCGGCTGCAAGCGCCAAGGCCGCCAAGGCCGCGATAAGAGCTCACTGCAACGACATGTGATAAGATGTGATAGGTCATCAAGGCAGGAAGCGCTTTCACGAAGGCCCTCATGAAGCCAAGCCCAACCAAGGTGAGCAAGGACATCCCCGCCTTGGAACGCCACAAGGCTCCTATATGACTTCATATTTCTGCGTTCACCTATGTTCACCTCACTTGTCAAGGCAGGCACGACATGGTCGAACTTTGTCTTCCCATCCAGAGAATGCACATCAAGCTCCGCAAAAAGGAGGAAGATGAGGAAAACGATCCTGAGGTTTTTAAAAACCAAAAACTACCCGCTCCTCATCAAAGATGCTCATGGAACACAGAACGACGGGTGAACATGCTGCAGCCATCTGGTTTTGTCGGGTCACTGCGACAAGACCTCAGATCAGGCTAACAGAACACTGCCTTGAAACAAATCAGCGGGTGCCGTTCGCAAAACCTTCGTTGGAAGCAAGCCACAATCAGTCTGCCCACATTGGTTTTGGTGGCCGCACTGGGAGATCTGCTTTCTGTCTCCAGCCTGTGCCTGCACAAATCCCTTTCGGAATGTCCTGGCAATGGCAACAAACGAAACAGAAACACCGAGCAGCATTCCACGTGGTCGTGAAAGCTCTATAACTTATAACAGATGCTAAGCCCAGACAAGGAGCGGAAGATGAGTGAGAGAGAGAGAGAGAGCCCTCCAAAAGCGGGAAGACAAATACACAGTTTGACGTCGACATTGACTTCGACATCTGGTAGCATCGAAGCGTCCCTACGACAAGAAACCGATCGGCGCAATGGAAGGACCGATTCCCGCACCGCAAAGACCGGATCGCACACTGAAATGCGCACCACACTCCGCCCAGCGGATTCCGGCAGATTCGCGCACAGGTGGGTTCGCGCACTGGACGACGGATTCGCGCAAGCGCAATTCACGCACTGACACGCACCCTTAGTCGACAGATTAGCGGGGGTGGTGCGGGGGCAAAGCCAGTGCTTGAGCAGCCAGTGGTTGAACCCGGATTTGTGCTTGAACCGCGTGCGTTTGAATCACCCGCGCTTCACTCGCGAGTGCTTTAGTATCAGGATAGGATTCATGATTCATGCGTGAATCGCCAGTTCTTGAACGGCCACAGTGCTTCAATCGCCAGTGCGAATCGCCAGTGCTTGAACTGCTTGTGCTTGCTTGAATCGAGAGTGCTTGAATCATGGCCAGTGCCTGAAGTGGACTGTTATGCACTAGCACGATCATGAGTTTGAATCTGGCAGGCTGCGTCTTGGCTCATCCCTAGACACAATCTGAGTTGCTGCCATTTTCAGCCCTACACGCTCCTCGCTCTTGGAGCAACCGGTTTGGCTCAGCACGCTGCCAGGGCCAATGCAAAGGATATTGCCTGCAATCGCAAGTCTTGACAACGTGGGTTGGACCACAAGCAGAAACGATCATCACCGACATCACCTCGTTTCCTGCAGGTTGTTCAGCACGGTTCCATAGATCACGAGGAGGCATGTGCCTAGCTTGATTCCACTGAGTACTGATGTCGAAGTCTCTGACTCAGATCAGCCAGCCGGTAAGCATGGCACTGAGCACTCCAGGCTGAAGAAAAAAGCTCCATCCAAGTTTACCAACCTCTGGCATCACCTCAGATCTGAACCGCACTATTGGATGTCCTCGCAAATAAAATTCATGCGGCGCACGAAACACTCCTCCCACCCTAGACACCTCTACCACATTGCCGAAAACATTGGAGTTTGACGTCAAGAACCTAGACGACCCAAACACAAACAACACATGCGGTCTGTTGCGCTGCAGCATCTGAGCGGCTCCGAATTTCAACATGTCATGGCATCAGTTGTTGCGCAAACCGGTGCTGCAAGCTGCCCGTATGAGTGTAGAATCTGCTGGTGGCATGTGGCGGAACGTGCTTACCTTGACAACATCTGTTTGGGGGCTGGAGCTTGTCGGCTGAGCTCGACACTATGGCACTCAAGGCGATGCAGCCTCCTGCAAGCTGTCACAGAATCATAGGATCATGCATCATATATGAATCATGTGATATCATTTGCCAGACACTTCTGTTTGCTTCAACCCAACACCGCACTTTACACAGAAAGCCTGCTTGCTTCCAAGCACATGAAACACCCCACCTGCCGGGAACTTGGCACAGGTGAGCTCTTGCAGTGCTGCCGTGCAGGCGACCGCCATCGCAGCCGGTATCAACTTCCTGAAAATGCATGAGAATTATGATGCATTGTCGTGCCTATAACCCCCACAAGCTTCAGGGCATGCAGAAATCACTCACACACACACACACACAAGCACACACGTCTTGAAACCTGCTGGCCGCTCTTCCATTCACGTAAGCGACCGCTCTAAAAAACAAAGTACTACCGTTCACGGGAACGGTACGAGTCTGCGGGGAAAGACCAAAAACATCCAAAAACACCATCCATGCATGCTCACAGATTCAAACGCCGAGGTACTGGTGCCCATGCAAAGACCCAACCTGCAGACGAGCTGAACAAACGTGACAAACAGCAGCCAGGCCACTGGCATCTACCCCTTGGGCCGGTCAGTTCCCGATTCCAGCCTCCAGGAGAAAAGTCCCAGAGGCGGCTCCTATGACGCAGCCAACCAGGCATGGCCAAGGCTGCGAACTGGTTCCTGCGGACAGGTGAGCATCTACACATTGCAACGCAAGTGCACCGTGCACCCTAGAGGCCAGTGCGGCCAAGGCAAGGATTCTACAACGGAAATGCCGAAAATGCACCCCGGGTGACCCCTGGCAATAGTTTTTGAGCTTTTAGCTCCCTGCCCCCCTCACCATCATTCCCTGGGAATAGCGATGCAAAGTTCGAGCAGGTGAACATCGGACAGCCATCCCACCTCGCCAATCACTGAAGATTGACACGGAGGCAGCTGCGGGTCCGATCAACCTCAAAGAATCGCAGGGAAACGAAGCCGTGGAATCGCAAGCGTTGCAAATGTGGGGCGGCGGGCAAGGTTATGTAGCATAGATCCGGCCAGGATGCTCCGTGCAAGTCTTCTCAATAGCTCACACGTTGCAATGCAAAAACGGTCTTCCGACTATGCTCAAAACATCTCAAAACTGCATCATGAAACAGGATCTATTCAAAAAATTTATACCCGCGGCTGAACAGGCTGATTCCTTCCTCCGCTTGTGGCACTCCACACGAAGTCTCCGGCAATCGCTCTAAAGAAACATTTTTTCGCAATGTAATAAGGCACTGAAAGTCTTTCTGAACTTCCCCGGGGGGGCCGGAGACCAATCCCAGCAGCTCGCGCACCACGGTCGCACCATGCCCCTCATGTCTGTAGCAACAAAAGTACCGGTAAGGACCGCTTCGCACTCGCTCGGCATACGGGATGCCGTCTCTCAAGCCGATCACAAGTCGAAGGTGAGGGCCGTGAGCTGAGTCGCCTGTACCCTATACTCGGCTGTTGGTCCTAACTATCCTTCCCTTGAGAACTTTTGCGGGCCATGCTTGTCGGAATCGAAGACTCTGGCATCCTCGCTGGTCGCGCCTTCGCCGAGACTTACTTTGAAAAGAGCCTGTGGCTTTCCATCCCGACTTCTGGTTGCTTCCGATCTCTCTTATCTCTGTGCTTCCTGTCGGCTGACTAGGAAACTGTGAGCTTGCTGCTACGGCCGGCCTTTGCAAGAGTCGGTGTCCAACTGCTCAGAGATTGAGATGGCGCGGATCAGCGGCGTGTTCGATCTAGTTCATACCGGCCTCTTTTTGCTGAGTCGGGCCAGCCATCCATGTGACGAAAATACTTGTCGCACCAAATTTCTCTTCATGTCTTGGCCTCTATTTGGGATCAAGACTTGTTTCTTCACCTGTGAAACCTTCCACCATCGTTTCCACTGCTTTTTCCTGTGCTTCTTTTGTCGGTCCGGTTACTTCCTTTCGAATAATCTGGTGCAAACCAACGAGCCCTAACAAACGGGCGAGCGAGCCCGAGAAAGTTTGCCAGCGGGGGCTTATTGCTCATGCACACCGTACTTCACGCAGCCTACGTTGCAGGCAAATGTCAAGCAGCTCTGCCACTGCCACACGGGAGTCTTTCTGTTACTTTCTGGACGGACTCCAATTTTGGCTGGTTGATCGCAGTTTAATAGCTAACCTACGAGGCAGGTGTGTAACCACCATAAGGAAAAAAGGGGGAACCGCGACAAGGAATCCAGGAACCACAATAAGAAACGCATGGTAATCATGACAAGGAGAGGCCACTTCTGGGCCTTTGGGGGTCTCTTCGGGGCCTAACCTTCTAGCTTGGAAGCTAGGAGATCAGGCCCGCGGGCTCTCCTTTGGAGCGGATCCATATCGAGAGAAAGCTTCATGCAGTGACTTTTCCTTTCTGGGGTGGCTCTCTCTGATTCTCTTTCTATCTTTTTCTCAAGTCGCGTGCACGCACCGCCCCCCCCCCCACCCAAGTGGCAAGCTGTAGCCACAATAGCTGCAACATTCCCACAGTGTGCTTACCCTACCCGGCCACCCATACCTTTCCACACCCACTACTGGTCCTACTAAATTTGTCGATGTAGGAACCGCTTCCCAACAACTCCTTGAAGCATGGGACTTTCACTACCCCGGAAGACTTCTCGTCAGCAGTAGCATACTCAGAGTACTCACAAGGAACACGCTATGAGAGCACTATTCCCCATTCAAAGCTTTCACTCAAAACATCATCCAAGGAGCGATGCGGGAGTCCAGCCCAACAGGTCATTCAGCAATGCTACAGACCTGGGCAGTCGAATTGCCGTGACATCCCGCTCTGCCCCCCGATGCAGCTTTGCTGTGCAACAACAAACTGTCGAACTAGACTTGAGACTTGTGGCGAACCGCTCTATGCCAATTTGCATGTGGTGATTGGGTTGCTAGCCCCACGTTGGTTTTGCACGGAAAGCTCAGATACCTCGATTCATTGCACACCTAGCAGCTCCGAACTGTATTTCAGAAATCACACACATAAGCTTTTTAAACCGCCGCCTGTGCGCACAGAAACTCCTGTGTACACCCTTTCGGTCCGAAGGCTTATTGCATGCAGGCTGCAGCATGTAAGCAAAGGCTGCCAGTGAGCCTCACAGAAGTTGGCAAAGATGGGCAAAGCGTGTGTGCTTCTCTTTGCAGTACGTACGACGACAAAAGGTCCACACATGTCCGCAATGCAGCACTACGATGCACTGGGAGCCAGGCTGAAGCAAGTATGAGCATAAGAAACTGGACTGGGACCACGAAGACCAGCACCCTGTAGCTTCATCAGGTATGTTGGCAACCTGGGCAGGTGTTTCACAAAGCCGACGGCTAGAGTAAAATTGGCAAGCCACGTGAGCAGCGCAACACACAAAAGAAATCTGAACACTGAACAAAGATCTGGCAATAGCGAATTGCAACAGGCCGGCCACCAAGACTAAGCAGCATAGCGGTCAAGGGTCGACCCGTGATCCCAGACCCCACGTCTGGATACATGCCAGGCAAACTACACTTGAGAGAAAAGGACTTTGCCGATTCAATGCGTCACTATCTTCGCCCTCCTAGCATGATTCCCGCACCTATGTTCATGGCGTGACCCGGCTGCCCACATGTCGAACGCTAAAAACAGTGTGAAACGCATTGAAACGCCCTGGAACTTAATTTTGAAACAGTAAGTCTGCAACCATTGCTGGGGAGCGTGGACGATGAAGCTCACTGGAGCAAACTTCGAGCCTCCACAAGGGTCCACATTGGGTCCACGTTGGGTCCACGGAACCACTCCTGGAATGCTGACAGCGACTTTGCCACTGCCTTTCTCGTCAGAAGAAGGAGATGGCCACCATGCCTCGACAAACGCTAAAGCTACCAGCGGCAAGCAGTGAAGCAGCGACTCAGAGCTTTCGACTCTTAAAAAGGCTCAGATATGTTCAGAAGGCTGCTGGTACATCTTGTCACATCTTGAAGCACTCTTGAAACAAACATGCTTGGAAACGACACGTACAAGCCACAGCACTTTCACTTTCTGTCCTGCGGATACAATCTGTCCATGCACATGTTGTTGAAGAGAGCTGCAGCCTCAGCATTTCAAAACATTCAGTTAACAAGTTAGCAGCTGCTCGATCTGAGAACAACGGTGCTCCTGCATGAAGAACAGCTTTTGCTCGCGGCATGACGAAACATTAGTTCTGCAACAGTAGAGCCTGCAAGGTCTCCAGCACCGGTCCGTGGGACAAACCAGATCGCACTCGCAAAGCTGGTCGGCACTGGGTTCTCTACAAAGCTCCAGAAACATCCGAAACATCCATGCAAGGCCTCACGACCTTGGAACTTGATAAGTCAAGCGTTCGACGTATCATCTATACGGCTTCCTGTGCCAAAGATGCATCTGCATCAACGATAATATTCGGTGTTCACATGCCACGCTTCAAACGGCATTTTCACCGAAATGAGAAACAGCATGAGCACTCGATTGACGCTGCTCAAAAATCTGTCAACGCCGCATGTGGACGAAGAGCTGCAACCGCTGCGCTGACTTCGGGATCCTTGCAACGTTATCAAATTCAGCACGGGTAATGTAGTGAGACACAGACTTATCTCGGATGTGAAGAGGCATGTGTGGAAATGCATGACTCAAGCCAACACTACGGCGCCTTGCACTGGGACGGCACGAAATCCAGCAGTCGCATGAAACTCATCTTTTCAAACGATTTGCGGAGCATCTCCACATTCCTCAGGCAGCTCTTTCAGGCTCAGATGAAACCCTAAAATGTTTTAAATTAATATGAAAAATGTGCGAGAGAAAAAGCCTCACTCGTTCCTTTCGCTTGAACAAGGCTGTGAGGTGACGGTAACTTTCAGTCCAGTTAGGGTGATGCATCCACGGGTGTGAACGCTTAGACCAAGATAAGAGACTTAGGGTCTTAGGGTCGTCCAGAGGGTGATTCCTTGTCAAGTTCCTGTCACGTACGGGCTCTTGATATAGGTGCATGAGTGAGTTGGGTCTCAAGGTGTGGTGGCTGAACAGGGCTGAGAGGTGTGACGGGTGAGCAGGGCTGTGAGGTGTGATGGGTCAACAAGGCTGTGGAACAAGACTGAGAGAGACGAATGGTACGCTTTCCATGTTGGGTTCTTAAGGTGTCCATCATGAGGAGATTCCAGGGCCTTTCAGGCATTAGCACCAATATGATTAGGGGCTGGGGTTGGGGCTGGCTGTTGGGGCTGGGGGGAGATCGGCGGGGAGGGACCGCAGAGCACCTGACCATATGTGGTCATATCTAAAGCCTTGATATGCATGCTTATGTCACTTAACTGTCACTTATGTCATGTCCATGTTGCGCAAGCGTGCCGCCAAATGGATACAGATAAGCATGAAGACATAATATACAGTGATTAGTAATATTGATCGTGTCGATTGCTGTCATGTTGAAGACCAGACTCGGTTGTGCGCCTGCTATCTTGGGCAGAACAGGAAGAGCAGCAAGCCGCTCCTTCGCGAGGCGAACGTGATCCGTAGTGCCCGTGTGAGCGTCACTGTTTTGGGCCCCGGCCTCGAGAAGTCGCACAATGGCCGTTGCTTCCAAGGGGAAGTTCCTCAGAATCGGCTTGGGCACAGTCCCAGACTGCGCACAATCGCGACCGCTCTTGCTGACTGAGTCCAGGACATTCGCACAGAACGCTCACGTAGATGCTGGAGCACATAGCTAAGCAGGTCTGCCTTCGACGTACTTCGAATGCAAACTGCGAACTATCCTACTCGTAGCCTGCATGGGACCAAAAATCGAGAACGACGTCTCCAAATCCTGGCCTCTGCCAGTGTGTGAAGCAGTTGTCGCTGTCGGCGGTCCAGCTTCGACACTTCCGGCCCAGCACCCTTGCCTAAACGAAACGTCACGGAAAGGATGAAACAAACTGTCCTTTGAAAACTGCACCAACTGCTTCGGGAAGCCCGGTTAATCACGGTCACCCGGACAGGGGTGTGGTCTAGGGACATGGCCTGCCACGAGAAGCTGCGGTCTGCATCTGCTCTCTGGTCTACTCTCTGGTGCCGACGGCCACGCGGAGACCCCCGGAGTAGATATGAAGTCTTCCAGAAAGCTCACATAGCGCAAGGTTGACTCATGACGTCGAGCATAATCATCGTCCATGTCCTGCCGCCTCGGTGAATGACTCCGACCTCGGCCCCTGTGCAAATCAATCTCGTCCTTGACCACCAGGAAGGTGTTCTCATACTTGAGACGACGCCAAATCATAGCGGGATGGTCTATGCTGTAATTCCCACACTTCCTACGACTATAGCAAAGTTGGATCCAGCGGCACACCGGACAAAAGTTGGAAGCAACGCTCAAGCCCTGCCATCTCTATCAGTCCATGATAGTCCATGCATGAGCAGCGTGAAGCAGTTCCTGAACTCCAAGAGGGAAGCCACAATGAGAAGCACCGCGGCGCTTCCGCACCTGTCAGCACAACACTAGACCACCGCATTCAAGGCTGCGCGCTTCGCACCCCCACGATTGCGTCAAGTTCCCTACGGCGTTCTTACCATGCACAATGGATAAGCACCGATTTGCATTGCCAAGGAACATGAAAGTAAAGTGTGGCCAAGAGCACGTCTGAGCCTTAAACAACCGAGCACGGTCTGGGCTGCTCTCTGAAACCGGCAAATCTCCATGGTTACCCCAGGCTTACCCTGCACACCATACAGCATACCATGCATCTGAACCAGTTTGCGGACTGCCGAGTCCGCAACCTCAACAAAGATGACTGCATTGGCAGCACCTGCAGCTCTCAAATAGACGGCCGAAAAAGTACCGCACTACTGTGCTCAGTACTTCATATAAGTAATTTCCACAAGGATTTGCCCCCTAATTGTCCCTGTCCTGCTGGATGAACCGACCCGCTCAGCTCTTGCGCGGCGACGGTGGTAGCAACGGCCAGGGCAACCTCGCAGTGTAGTTGGAGTACAACAAGTGCCGACACACATACGCACTCTTCACTCGCTTGGGCGCTGGGCTTGGGCTTGGCCCGTGCTGGATTTGTCTTCTGTCATTGTTCTGCTAAACGTGCAAATCCACGGACAACACATCTGGGAGGCTTCGCATGCTTCGCATCATGGTCTCTCTACAAGCTGGGGAGCCCTTCTTCTCAGTCATGCTTGCTTCATGCTGGCTTCATGCTAGGGATGCACAATTTGTTGAGACGTGCCCAGGGGCGCGGGGATCTTGCAACAGACTTCAAGTTCATGTTGTGCGGTCCTCTGCGCCTCACTAGCGTGGACGCTCCACGACATGCGGGCAGCATGTCTTCATCGCGGGTGCTTCAAGGATTTCAAGGATTTCAACGAGTCACGAAAGCCACGTGACCGGAGTGCCTTTGCATAGAGGAGCTGCTCAAAATTGAAAACACCGCCCTGCCCTCAAAATCTCTCATGAAGTGTTGGTAAGTTTGCACCAACTGTGACTCGCATCAAACTGCGTTAAGAGAGAACGCAAAAACAACGGCCAGACCATAGGACCAAGTAAGAGCCCCCGTCGTGGTTGTGTTGGTGTGGTATTGTGCAAGATTGCCCGGGAGTGTATATCTAGTTCGTGTTTCTTGCACGCAGATGGCGCTTTCCTCTGTCTTCCAGCACGCGACAGCACGTGGCAGCACCCGACAGCCCCCGACCGCATGCCACGAGCAAGGACGACTTTGGCCATACGACTGTTCCTGCAATCTCAGCTCTGGCTCTTCATTCATGTGATGTCTTGTTTGCCGGCCGTTTCGTTATGTCGACCTCGCACATACGGCCATCGGCCTTAAAGCCTTCCAACACAGGCAACCGCCTGCGGACCGGAATCTCAGACCACATGGACAGATCACTCACGAAGCAACGTTCAGTCTTGAACACGGTCCTGCGAAACTAAAACTGTGAGAGGCAATGCATCGTTTCGTTGGCGCACCGCATCCCACCTGAAGTTCCAGGCTCACTGGCAGCAGCTTGATCAGGCCCGCACAGCTGCCTGTGCACACGGATGTGGACCGAATTGTGAAACCCCTTCCCCTTCAGGAAGGTGACAAGCGGATACAGTGAACGATACATTGACAAATGCTTCTGAAATGAGGGCGTGAGGGAAACGGGGGGCCAGGATTTGGGGCAGGGCAAGGAAGGGGGGGTGTCGGGGGTGGCGAGGTTCAAGGCGGGGTGTGCAGACTGTCCAAGAGCAAGTGCTCTTATGCATGGCACGCGGTAAGTTGCTGAGCTTGAGGATGCCAAAAACACGTGCTGAGCAGTTTGTCCAAGGGGTTAGCGAGAACAACAAAGTTTGTAACAGAGCCTCAGAGCTGGCAACGGAGATGGTGCGCGCTCATGCACAAAACCACTGGCATATAACATTATACGATGCATTTACCACCCGGCCTAGGAGGTTGCCCAGGAGGACACTCCGGGGCTGAGCACCCGGATGCTGCCACGAGCTAAAGACCTCTCAAAGTTTGCGGGCAGAATTCGGCACCTGTGTCTGTCTTGAAACAAACACCCGTGCACCAGTGACTTGCCCCAAGTGAAACGCCTGCAGTGTGGCGTACTGCACCACTCGCAGGTTCTGACACAAAAAATGGACTTTGCGCCTGAACAGCAGCAGCCCCCCAGGCAGCATTCAACAGCGGCGCCTGCGCCTCTGGGTTTGGGAAATTGCCGGAAATTGCAACTTTGCGAAGCTGCAGCGGTGCTCTATGCATCCGGCCTGATCCGAGTCACCTCAAAACCAAGCAGCCAAAATTGAAGGACAAAGCACAAGCCAAGTGTTTGACAGAGGACATCCAACCAATGTGTACACTGCAACCAGGCTACCGAAGCTCGACAAGAAGCGCTCTTGCAAAAGGCCCAGCAAGGCAATGAAGAGGAAACATCCCGTGAAGGTGGAGCCTAGACGGTGGGCGCGCACTGATTTGCAATAGAGCAATTCCTGGCCTGAAGCTTACGTTGAATCCACTCGAGGCTCAGACACACATGACAAAGTCCGTCGCTCTCCTCCGCTGTCCTCTCGGCAGCCCCACCTTGATCGGAGCAACATCACAGCTTTCGCTCACAACTTGCCAACAAATGCCAACAAAGCGCGGATGTTCAGGCCAATTCGCCACAAATAGCAAAGACAACAAACGTAGTGCAAGTCACATTCAGCGGCTGATCACTTAGGGTCTGGATCTGCCAGAATCTGCATCTTTAGACAATATCACCATTCTGGCTCTTCCAAGGCACAAGCAACCTGCAAACTGATATTCTTGCGGTTTGTTTGCTGAATCAAACGACGCAAACCTCACTCGAGGAATTCACTTCCAAAGCGATGGGCTAGCCGAGAACCAGGGCAATCAGAGACTCAGGAGCTTCAGAGCCGAACTGTTGGAACATGTTGGAACATTTGAAATCGTTGGATTGCCGCACAAGAGTCATTGCACTTTCAGAAGCAACACAGACTCAATCAAGCTCAATCCTGCTCACAAGAATCGCCCCCGAAGAGCTTCCCAAGGCGACTCGTAGCACATGGAACCCTGGTTCTGCTGGTCTGTCGTTTCTCATTCAAGCTCTATCTGTTTCTGAACAGGCTCCTTGATTCCTTGATATTGGTTTTCGCTGCTATTCATTCATCTGACTTGCTTGAGCACATTCTGAGGCATTGGCCTTCCAGTTTGTCGGCGTAGCAGGCCCACCAGTCTGAAAGCGACTCCTAAATCAAAGCCAGGACATGCCAAGACAGTCTGATGCGAGTCCCTGAAGGTTTGTCGCCAAAGCATCAACATTTCATCGGAGCGAAGGGGATGGCGGCGTCAGAAAGCGAACAAATGTAGCGCTAGGTAGCTCAGCAGCTGGTTGTCGCTGAAGCGTGTCATCAGCATTGGCTGCGCGGCGGATTTTCAAGTTTCGGTCTGAACGAAGATCCAAAGGGGATTTCGCGCCTTCTTTCAATGTTAATGTGATATCCTGATTAGTCTGGACCCCTTCAACAATGAGAAGTTTTCAAAAATAATTCAGGGGACAAAGATTCGGCTGCCCCCCTACTATAATGAAAAGTTTTTCGGGCATGGGTTTCGGAAGAAAGAAAAAAGAGAAGAAGATGAGCTGAGCTCATCTGAGCTTACCTGAGCTTAGTTACCTAAGAGGAAGAGGAGAGGAAGAGGAGAGGAAGAGGAGAGGAAGAGGAGATGAAGAGGAGAGGAAGAGGAGAGGAAGAAGAGAGGAAGAGGAGAGGGAAGAGGAGCCAAGAGGAAATGAAGAGGAGCCGGGGGGGGGGGAGGGGGGGCCCGGGGCCGAAAATTAGTTTGGTGGTGCCTTTTTTTTTTACTATTGTGGGGGCGGAATTAGTTTGGGGGGGGGGGGGGGGGGGGGGGCCTCCCCCCACACTAATCAGGAGACCACAATGACAATAACATTTCTGTTATCGTGCTCCATGCACAATTTAGATTCAGCCGCCGTCTTAAGTCTCCAGGTCATGCCGGCATGTAAGACCCGCAATATGCAGCCTTCACAGACATCCCGAGAGAACGCAAATTGTGAACACCACACTTTTCCCGTGCAATCCTGCTAAGTCATTTGCCAAACTGTGTTTTGAATGCTTCCCTAAACCCTAAACCCTAAACCCTAAACCCTAAACCCTAAAGCCATCTAAAGCCCCAAATCCTGTCACATGTCCCCGGGTTTTGTTAAGTTTCCGCTTGCTGTGCCGAGCTTGCAGCCCGCATCCAAGCCCAAACACAGCTCCTTAGAAGTAGGAGAACAGTTTGAGACCCGCTCCATTGTCTCACTGGATTGGTACGTTCCATCAGTTCTTTCATGAACGAACATGTTCTTGCCGAATGGTCGAATATTCGAAACAGTTCTAGATTCAGAAGGGTCCGATGTGTGCCGCGTTTGTTTGCTACATCGGCTCCAGCTCGCCATTCCATCGCAAAGCGTGCTTGCTGCTGTAAAGCCCTCAAAATGCAAAAGCAATGGAAAAACTGAGTCGCAGAGTTGATCCGCTCTGCTTAATTCATTAAGATTTGCACATGCCGTGCCAGTCAAATGTCGGCCGGGTCAGGCACCTCCAAGTGCTGCAGGGTTCGCAATGTCCCGCACTACAAAGATCTACAAAGCGCACATTTCAGCAAAACGAACAGGGTCAGGATCCAGCTGCTTCCCCACTCCCTTTTATCTTTCCAGGGTTGAGGGCTATCTAGTAAGCTTTCAGGCTTTCACCTTGCCCCTTCCATGTTGAAAATCTCATTTTTCTGCTCACCAACTTTGCCAGCGTTCCTCTTAGTTGCATCTACGGCCTGACAATTTGATGGTCCTTCGGCCGGCATCAGCTCTCCGTTAAGGGCTCAGGTTCTCTCAACCATCCATAATTACGTGGAATCATGGCTGTTCAGGAGTTGCTGATTCTGCTGGACTTTCATCTCTCATTTCTATGTAACATCTTAATGAATAAGCGGGGGCTGTTGCTGGATGTTTACGCTGCCCCATATTAATTACTGGTTTTTCATGGGGGGTCAATATGAAGATAATTGAAGAAGGTTATCATACACTTTCTCATTCATATCATCTTTGTTGCGTGTGGGAGTCAGGAGCTAGAAGAAAACAAACATGAAACTTTTGGGGTTGTCCTGTGGATTTCTGGTTCAAAAAGCAAAATGGAAATACAGGAAACGATCTGTCTTGCACTCACCTGGTCCGTTAACTTAAAGGCAGAAGCAAAGACACGAACAACGCCGGACTTTTGCTACCTTATGCGCTGATGGCCTGACTCTTAGCAGAGTGTGATGGGCAAACTTGCAGCACCACTAGCCATGATACGTAAGAATAGGGCTTCTCTGGCACAGGTTGCTTGTATTTCATGCATCTAGCGATTCGGCACCCAACTAAGGTCTCGTAGAGTCACATGATGTTCCAAGAGTGCCAGCAATTGCAAGCTGCCACGTGACTCTACATACAAAGGATGCTCGCCTGTGCCCACAGCCTCTGATGGCGAGGGCGCTTTCGCCTCAATTTCCACACAAGTTCCGTCGGCCCAGAAGAACTGCGCTGCAACACTCAGAGGTCCACCCGGTCGTTGCAATGATCTCCGCGCGCTCATGACCTCAAAGACAAAACAACGTTGGAGGCACACAGTGGCTCGAAATATGTGCCAAGCTGAAGTAGCTTGGTTCGAGGGTACCTTCACCCTGTTATCCCTGTTTGTGTTGCTCTCCCATCAGGCCCGAAGTTGAGGGGCTGGATTGTATTTCAGGGGCTAATTAAAGGACTGTCGACTTACGCCCAGGTGGCACCCTGATCAAATTCACACGTTGACTAGCACTGACACTGTATACTGCACGAGTGGACAAACTAGTACCCGGAGAGCAACGCAGGATGATAGGAACATTGGCAATTACCCAATTTTCATATTTAGCTCTCACACATCCAAAAAAGCTTAATAGACTGGAAATGCGCCTCTCTTTGTTCCTAGAACAGCGGGAGGATGCGTGTCTCAGAGTGCGCTTAGCACGCAGCTGTTCTCATCAAGCAGCATCTAGCGCTCCATGGGGATTTGTTAGGTCTCTCTCTCCCTGAGGTCCACATTCACAGTACTTCACCATGTCTGAAGGGAGATCTATGGGAGATGGTCTGGCTCTGGCCCGATGTAGTGCATGTCTGTTCTGCGTGAAGGCGAACTGCAAAGTCAACATCAAATGCAAAGCCCGTGCTGCGTTTGTTACACATCTCGTTGGGTCAGCTATGCTCTCAAGCCATAGCGGCTAACAAGCATGCACAGAGTTTGATTCCAAGGTGTGTGGCGCGTGTCCTGGAAAGATGCTGCGAGCAATTGACCCCAGACCAGCTCATCAATTGCATTTTTGCTGCTAATCGTGAGCCGCCGTCAGAAGCACCGTCAACGTACCTGCAGGAAGGAGCAAAAGCACCGTAGAAGACCATTACACTGACGGAATGTGCTGCACAACTACGCTCAGAAAGGGCATTGGAAAAACCAACAAACCTGACTGACAATGTGGATGAAGGTCAACCATAGCACGGCCTGCTCGTCTAGAAAATTTTGCCTCGGCAGACAACCAAGCTCTTTTCCTTGCCTTCGAGAAAAAACAACACACACCACACAAACACCCAGACCACGATAGTGTATTTGAGACAGCTTCACTCCACTTCATCAACAACTACGCGACGACATTATTCTGTGCTCCCTGCCAAGTGAACTGCAGCCTTCCCTTGGCTTGCCATGATATGGCGTATATAGGCAAGCGGCTGCGGGTTGCTCCAGCGATCTAACCTCAAACGGCAGCGTCACCTGGCACACTCGGCTTGATGTACTACAACCTCTGAAGTTCTTTATCGATATTGGCTTCCTGGTGGCCTCCAACTCTTTCCATGCACCAGCAAGGCTGCCCAAGCGCACAGTGCGAGAACCAACCTCCAACACTGCGTCCGTTGGAGTCAACGTCTCCTGGGCACTCACGATCAAATGACTCCAAATGACTATGTAAGTAGCATTAAGAAGCCGATTACGTGGCCTGCTTCATGGCTCTAAAACACTTTGATGAATCCGCAGCCTTCCGAAAGACCAGTCGAAGTTGACGACGCTGAGTGGCAGAATCGAAGCTTTCTTCCAAATTGTAACTGGGCTGCGCAGCCACAGCCTCCATATCTTTTTGGCATTCTTTCGTGTCACCAGGCATGTTACTCCCACTTGTCCCACACTGTTCAGCACGGGAATTTGGCCCCTCTCCTTCAACAAGTCCGGCACGGCCGGCAAAGATGCGTTTCATGAGCTCCGCGGCTTTTTGCCGCATCGCAGAATCTGCACCAACTGGCTCCAGCAGTCGAAGGTCTGTGCGCCGACAGATAGAAGGACCACCTGCTTCCCAACGTACAGCGATCAGACGCTCAGGCGGAACACCGCAGCTCAGCAGCCACGCCTTTGCTGCTTCTGCTCTTTCTTTTGCAATCTCTGCATCCTCCCGATCTTCTGCATGACCCACAATTTCCAAACAGCGCTTGGAGCCAGCACGTGGCTCGAGCAGAGTCTTAACAAGAGAGCGCAGAACAGCCTCTTGTGTTGCAGGCACACTCACCTCTTCCAGCCGATACTGAAGAGACTTCTGTCCAGTTACTTCAAGCTCCTCTCGAAGCTCCTCTGGAAGCTCCGGAAGCTCTGGCGAAGCCGGACTCTCATTTCGGTTGCTGGATGCCTCAATGGGTACACCCGCAGGATCATTCTCCGATGCAAAGTCTGCCGCTGCTTGCTCCGATCTTTCAGCCTCACGCAGTTTGCGTCGTAATCGTGCCACCTCTTTCTCCTGTTCGGACACAGCCACAACCGCTGCGGAGCGATCATCTTGCGATTCAGCTGCATCTAATGTAGGTGAGTCTGGCGAGGCACTTTGGGAATCAGGAAGATTCAGCAAAGGTGCGGTCATTTCGTGCACCCAATCATACAAGCATACACACTGCTTGTCTGCCTGCAGTACTTCCTCTCGTGTCACGGGCAAATCACCCGCCAAGATTCGATGAACATGTTTGGCCAAGCGCTGTCCAAACGGATGCCTGCGCAAAGCTGCCACTATGGAAACCATAGGCGCGTGAGATGCTTTGGCTGCGTCTGCAGCTTCCTGACATGCGGCTGATACTCATCAATGCATCTGGCAAGGGCACAAAGAGTACGGAAGGAAAGCAGTGTTCATGATTCCTTTCCCGACTTGACTTTGCGACATGCGGGCTCGGAAAGCATTGTGATCTTTACCACTCCTCACCCTTTACTCTGGATTAGGACTGGCCTGCAGTTCAAGCTCACGCACTTATGAAGCCAATTCCATGATCGCCAAACCGAACAGCAAGTCTTAAAAAAGCTTGCAAACACTTTCTCCCATCCTTGCATGCCGAGCCCGTTTCCTTCCTTTTGCTGGAGTAGAACCCACCCGCCTTAGCCAATTTCTGTGCCATCGAATGGGCATCACGATTGCCGGAGACAGGTCTTGGTTTCAGGGTGAAGCGACAGTCACCGTAGTTCCCTCCTGCTCAGGACCGTACGCTTCAGGGCCGTCCTGCTGGCAACCGCTACCCTGAAGTTTGCGCTGCGGCCCCTTCCCACTTTGCCTGTTGTCGTTCACCGTTCTGCGAAGCCCAATTTCAAAGAACAAAAAAACACAATATTCTATGGACCCTTTGGGTCACGGACCCACTAGGGTTTAGAGGGGTTGTGGTTTAGGGTTTTAAACAGAGTTAATGGGTTTCAAGTCGGGCCGACAGGACTGACAGCATGTCCCTGCACGGTGGTTCTGCCGCAGGCGTCGTTACATGAAACCGCAAGACGGCACCTCCATCCCAATCCAGTTCAAATGCTTTGTTTGGCACAAACCACCGGAATGGCTGGTTGACCCCGCGTTGATCTTCCTCCCACTTCCTCCGTCAACGCATGCCCTTCTGGAAACCCCAACCGTCGACACTAAACTGCGGTGACATGACCTTGATAAACCTGAACCCAAAGTTCCACAAAACCCCAAACAGATCCTGTCAAGGAATCCACTTAAAGAAACGATCCAAAGAAATTTGATGACGCTGAACCAAAAACACCAACCAACCCATACACCCTACCTTACGGTCGTTTTGGAAGTTCACTATCACACCTATCAGAAACCGTTTGGTGAATTTGGGAGGCCATCCAAAAGTCAGAGTACGAAGCGTCCAAGGCGAGAAAGCCTGGCCTCACACGGCTTGCGCAGAAGGACTTGGAGATTCCGCCATGGCACCCGCCAAGGCAAGGGATGATCTCCCAGGTCAACGAGCAGTGGGGCCTCTGGGCGCACAATGAGAAGAGGCTTCAAATTTCTTCAATTTCAGTTCAGGTCGCGCCTCCAGCAACAGCATCACAGCAACGGCTAACCTGCGCATCCAGAAAAGGCAGCATGCTGAGAAACAAGAAACACGGGCTGAACATGTTTCACCCATATCTTTCCAAAACAAGATGCCGATGCAACGCTGCTGGAGGAGGCTCGTGATGAGCTGCCATGGCCTGGAATGCAAAGACACCAGATAAAGGCCTCAAGTTGACAAAGTGTGCCCACCCTCCAAACTACAGCATCTACAGCTTTGCCTTCATTGCCAGTTCCTCTGGCGGATCGTCGGGCAGCTCCACGTCCACATGGATGTCAGCCGACCGATCGGCCGAAGGCAACTCAGCGCAACGAAAGTGTGCTTGAAAGTGTATCTAACGGCCATTATGATATGTGCGTTCGCCCAACTCATTGAGATGTGCTTTTGCGGAATCAAGTGCAGAAACTGCAAGGATGGATTAGGTTGTGACGAACCAGAACGCAAAACACAAACTCCGACCGTGAGCGTGAGCGTGCAAAGGTCAACCATGTCTGGATTCACCGTGTATGCTTAAAATATGAGTTTGTCGACCACAAGTCAAACAGGGCCACCAAAGGCATGCGTAATCGCATCATGTGCATGACAACTTGGTGACCATGATGTTTTGCTCCGGACCTTGCTACTCTCAAGCTCCAATCGATGTTGGCGCCGTCGTCGCAACTCTGCCTGCACGCCAGGTCACTCAGAGTTGGGCTGTTGTTGATAAAGCTTGCGATGTGCTTTCCACCACACCTCAGCATCGACGAGTAAGCTGCGCAATCGGGCAATGTGTTCAGGGGGCTTCGGTCCTTCAATGCGTCAACGTGTCTATTTGAAGCGTTGTGTCCGGCTTTTGCTACAAAAGCTGACAAGGAAACAGTTGGCTTCCTGGCGCAAGAATGTTGTTGGCATACCCTGCCTCATGACAGGATCAACAACGAGTTCAACGCACCGTCATGCAATTTGCAAATTGGGCGCCGACGTGCATCAGCCCGGAAACGAAATTCGCAACGGCAGGCCGTCATGCGAAAAAAACAAACGATTACACGAAGCAACAAATGGCACATTAGTATGACTGTCGCCGCACAAGTGCTTGTAGACAGACCAAGCGAACTATTCACGAGCACAAGCAAACATGTGCAGCTCTCACAAAAGCGTGTGTCAATGCTTCCAGCCATCAACATTGGTCAACACGCAGAACTTGCTTGTGTCAAACACAATGCTCCATGGTTACGTGACGGTTACATGCGTTTTTGCGTTTCAGCCCGACATGTCAACCAGGGGACCAACGCATGAAGCTGCCGTTCTGCACACCACGGTCAGCGCAAGCTTCGCATGTCAACAACAGCGGTTTCACTTGCGTTAATTGGTCATCCATAAGAGTGCAATTGAAGGGGGGTGAAGGGGCAAACGAAGGCGGTGGAATTACAATGAGTCTCTACCTTCTGCTCCTGTGTTTTCGAGCCATGAAACAGAAGAAATGAAAACAACAAACGAGGGGGTGGAAGTAAGAATGTTTTTCTAGTTCGACTCTTCTGACTCTTGGAATACGTCTCTACTCTCTACTTCTTGATTCTCGAACCATGAAACACAAGAACGGAAAACATGAAACGACGGGTGTGGAATTTAGAATGATTTTCTACTCCCTGATTCTCGAACAGCGAAACAGGAAACGAAAAACACAGAAATGATGGGTGGAATTTAAAATGATTTTGTACTCCCCGCTCCTTTGATTCTCGAACAATGAAACACAGGAAACGAAAACGAGAAACGAAGGGGTGGAATTAAGAATGATTTTCTACTTCCCCCTTTGATTCTCGCACAATGAAACAGGAAACGAAAACAAGAAACAAGGGACTGTTTTTTCAACAGTTCTTTACTTTTTACTTGTTTGGGTTTCGAACAACGAAACACAAGAAATGTAAACAAGCACGACCGGGCGGTCTGTACCCTGTTGCAAACCCCCCCTCCCGCCTTCCGGAAAGGCCCCTCCCGCCTTCCGGAAAGACTGCCCCAGGCTTCTGCCACAGTCCCAGAATCTTGGCAGCGTGCCCGTATTCAACGGGCAGGTAACCGCGCACTGGTTTGCTGGACATGCAACAACACCAGACGCTCCGGATAGCAGCCGCGCATATCTGCCGCGAATGATCAGTTGGAGGTTCTTCAATCATTTTGTCAATGTCCCAACTTTACAATGTGGAACTTGGGCAGCGCGCCGTGTCGGCCGCCTGGCCGTACGAATTGATTCCACCTCAACTGTGGCCAAGCAGAGCCCATTCCGCGTCTTAAGCTTGGTCATTGGAATCGTTGCAGGTGTGATGCTTTTCCAAGTTCCTCGTGTCCCAGAGACACCGGGTCTTCTGCCTTAGACTCTTCCACGCGCTCTCTCGGGCTGCTTCCACATAGAACGCACAAGAAACAGCCTTATAGCTTCTTGCAGCGGCTGCAGGCAAAGCACAGTTTGGTAACCGATAAAAACCGAAGCAGATCTTGGCTACGCCCTTTCATTTTTTCGTTTAGTCCAGATGGGCAGCTCCAGCGTCCGGCAAGCTACAAGCGCTCCCGGGAACCAATTTTGGACAATCTTCCAAAGAACTGAAATGAGCCAGCTGGAGGTCGCTGGCTTCTCAGAAACTAGCACGCGCAAACGGCTTGTCACCGTCGTGCAGGAACAAATCTCTGTCTCCGCTTCTAGTGGACCTTTCCTTTCAAGTCCACTGGATGCAATCTCTCGGGATGCGTTCACTTTTCCAGTCGGACGACAGGAAACTGCTGGGAACTTGGCGTCGATGCACGTCTTGCTGCCCTGCTTGCAGTCGAGCACCTGAACAACCGTCCGGATTTGCAAGCCTCCAAATAATGTCAATTATCGGGTCAGAAATCCATACCACAAAAAAAACTCTGTACTGGCAGCTAAACCACTTTGGATTGCCGAAGGACATCCTGGCCAAAAAAAAAGCAATTGTCCAGCACAGCTGCTCTAAATGCAGCTTGACTTATTTTTGATCAAATAAGACAAACGCAAAAAAAAAAAAAATAAACTGCATTAAAATGTGTTCGTTTTCAAAAATTGGAGATTTCGTGTTTAGCTGCTTTCCGGAAAAACGCAGACAGATCAAAGTCTAGAACCGCAAGACATGCACGGAGCAAGCAAAAAGAGCCAAGATCGATCAGGTAAAAATTGGCGTTAAGGGAGTTTTGCTCCACCATCTATGCTTCTCTTGTGCTGTCAGGCCTTCACTTCAAGCCTAGTTCTTTTCTTCAGTTCAACTTAGTGTGTTCTAACCATTTAGTGCTGAAAACCTTGAATTGCGCACAGACAGGTTCCTGTTTTGCCTGCTTGGACAAGTCTTGTCCAGTGACAGTGTGCAAGCTGCGTCCTTCCGGTCCGCGTCCACAGCAGAGTTAGTGCGCGTGTTCAGACTTGTCCTGGCTGCGGGCCCACAGATTCGTTGTGGACTTCCGCAATGCACTGAATGTTAGCGTTGGATGCCTTGCACAAGTCGACTGTTCCACGCAGCATCCTGGGAAGAACAGAGAATGCAAGACCAGCCCAGGGCACCCCGTGGTTCCAAACCACCTGAACTTTGGCTGAGCTCGATGCTTCAGCTGCTCTGCAGATAAGACTTCGGCCCTTTTCACCAGGCGATTAATCTTCTGCGCCACGAATTTGAAGCTTCCCAGCTGCAAAAAAAGGTCATCCCAGCACCGTTTTGCTTGCCGGTTCTCACGTGTCTGCAGCTGGGTTTTGGTGTGGGCGGTAGGGGCAGACGGCGCAAGCGGCGTGTCTGGGTGCTTTCAGTGGCTTTTAGGCTTTGCATTCTTTGCTCACGAACAGGTTTTCACAAACATTCTGGTTGTTTTGGCAGCTGCGTGCGCCAACTCAGCTAGAACCTGTCATCATGCACGAAGCCAGTAGTTGTAGTAGAAGTAGGAGAAGTAGTAGTCGTAGTAGTAGTAGTAGTAGTAGTAGTAGTAGTAGTAGTAGTAGTAGTAGTAGTAGTAGTAGTAGTAGTAGTAGTAGTAGTAGTAGTAGTAGTAGTAGTAGTAGTAGTAGTAGTAGTAGTAGTAGTAGTAGTAGTAGGAGTAGTAGTAGTAGTAGTAGTAGTAGTAGTAGTAGTAGTAGTAGTAGTAGTAGTAGTAGTAGTAGTAGTAGTAGTAGTAGTAGTAGTAGTAGTAGTAGTAGTTCTAGTAGTACTAGTAGTAGTAGTAGTAGTAGTTGTAGTAGTAGTAGTAGTGGTAGTAGTACTAGTAGTACTAGTAGTAGTGAGTAGTAGTAGTAGTAGTAGTAGTAGTAGTAGTAGTAGTAGTAGTAGTAGTAGT